TCAATAAATATTATGACTCTCCAATATATATTTTGACTCTTAAAAAGAACATGATGACTCCACAAATTGAATGCCTGGGGGAAACCTGAATCTGATATAAACTTTGTCTTCATGCTAAACATCATGAACATAGTCAGGTTATTTGGACTGGTGGAAACTAGGTGTTTTGGAGTGTTTGGAGTTCAAGTAGTCTTCTCAGACTTTCACTAGTATATGGACTAGCAATTTATTATTCCTTCGTTTCTCTCCTTGACATACCATTGTTGGCATAACAATTAACTTGGCTCAGCACTTAGTGATGTCAACTCTAAACAAACCTGTTAAACTCACCTTAAAGTCTGATTCTACACCACATCTCTAGCCATCATGGCCATTACTATAAGATTTCCTTAATATACACAAGTAAATTGTCACCATACTCCTAGGCTATGAATGTCAAAGTTATCTCCCTTTAATTGTTCACAACAATTTCTCTACTTCTTGTCATCTTGTCATCTTGAAGGCACACCCATGAAACATTTCATGTGCTTTTGTAAATACTAGTGGGTTTCTGAAAGTAAATACTAGTAACAGGAAAGCAAGTTGTATAACTGGGACCTTAAAAGATGTGTTTTCACAAACAGCATTTACCGTAAATTGTTTTCAGAATACTGTAAATGTTGGGTTACAAATTAAAAATCATGCAGTGTTTAAATACTGAACTAATCTGAGACTGTAATATTTAGGGAACCCCTAACTTGCAACATCAGGTACTGGACAAAGACTTCATAAAGAAACAATTATTTTTTCTTGTAACCGAATAAGAAAATAATTGCAAGGGTAGTAATGTGATAATTGCTGACCCAACATTGCAATATATACTGGAGTGACTCTGCTCCAGAATGTGTGACAATCACTTAATGATCTACCTCGTCAAGAAGTGACTATTTCTCATGTCAGGTGAACCTGGTTCAACACGTATTAAATTTGTCTCCTTAAGTAGCAGAAATGGCTCCTAAACAGGACTGCTAGAACATTGAGGACTGCTAGCCAGTAGAACAGGAATAATATAAGCATTATTCAAGTTTGCATTAAATACCTCAGGCATCCAATCAGATAAAAACTAAAATAATGTCGTTAATATGAAATGTTTTCTCTTAACATCTATGAACAAATCTAGCATTTCGAGTCATCTGCAATGATCCAGTGTTTTAAAGCTTCATTCTGTTATCATACACATCCTGGACTTATTTGTTACCAATAGTATACACAGCTTTCTTTGGAGTATGATTTTCCCCAATGGAGGTGTGCCCAGATCATAACACAGAGCGGTATCAGATCGGAGAAAAAGATCCGACCTTAATGAGATCACATGATGCTACAAAAACCCATCTTTTCAAATTTCACTAATTTGCAAACAGAGAAATTTTGTAGGATGACAATGAATGGGACCAGGGTACCCAACGTTTCATGCGATGCCCAAATGTGTGTACAGTACGCACAAATGTTGAAATAGGATGCAGAAAAAGAATATGCACAGGGAAGGGATGCACAATAATATTCATTGAACCTACAGTGCATCAAGAGCAGTTACGGGTGTGTCATTCCATCCATCAGTCATGACAACTGTCCACATGATCAGTGATCCATTCCAGGCTCTTAAGTAACCATCAAAACGTACAGTACACTACACCAATTCAGTACTTTACAGGACCCTCATATTCATTGTCTGTGGGAACCCTTACAAATTATTATTAGGGTCCCCCCTTTTGTAAGTCAAGGTAAAACCCTGGTACCGTATTTCCCCCATTAGATGCCAGACCTCCACTACACACTGCTGTCCCCAAAACAGAAGCTAGCCTTTACTTAATGCTGGGTCTCCAATACTTTGACATACCGGTGATTACTTATGACTGTTTCCAGCAAATTCACCTTTTGCATGACTGTAGGATTTGGGATTCGGAAAGGTACCGAGTTGCCACTGTGCCAGCATTCAGAAGAATAGACACCTGGCCTCCAATACATGCCAGTCCCTAATAGACAGCGGTTGAACGCCTTGCACCAAATTAATAGATGCCCAGGTGTCTAATAGAGGAAATGGGGTTTATTGTAACTCAATGGATACATACTAAAATGCTAATCCACTAGTCACTGGATACTCAAGGATATGATAAAGTGCATTCATACTTTTTTATGATTATGTTGTCAGTACTGAATTTTTTTTATTATTCCATATTTAGGACTGAGCAACAGTTTACTTAAAAAACTACATAAATATTCTCGTAGTAATGATTTACTTTAACACAGCATTATGTAAAATGTAAAATGGTTCTTGTGACTTGTTTGCCCTGGACATGCCCATGTTAATGTTACAAGGATTTATACAAGATTCTAAACTAAGTGCTATTTGCAGGCAATTTTGGAAGAAAAAAAAAATAATGTTCAAAATTGGGATTTCTTTAAGGTTCTCATTTTCTGAGGTATTTTAAGTATCTTCCTCTGCAGTGGTCATGTTATCAGTGATATACAATTTACCCCTACAAAGCCATAACAAAACTAGTTTAATTGTATGAACACGAGTTAGGAAAATATTAAATCCAATTTGGGAATTTTCACTGACGTTTGCTGCAGACTTTGGGCCAAACATCAACCTCTGAGCAGGACTAAAAATAAATCCCTGTTATCCAGACATTTTTACATGGAGCCAGTGAAAGTTGGTGAGAATAAAGTTAGAACTAAAATAATGTCATGACTGAGAAACCTTCAGAAAAATATTTTCAATGTCAACTATTAACACAATTTGACATGATGATTTAATGTGCAAAATTCTACACTGGTTTTGCTGAAACAAATGAAGGAATTATGTGTTTTTTACATCTTTGTTAGCGGTATCTGCAAAGTCAACAAACTTTTGATTGGTTAGTCTGATTATATTAATGAGGTGATTATTTCAGAGAGTGATCATCCTTTCTCAACATGGTCAGGTAATGTACTCCTGACAACAGGAAATGTCTCCCAACAAGATGCTGCCCACACAGGTGACACTGCTGATGACCATTCACAACAACCACAGCCATGCACATCAGTGTACTAGTCTGTAGTTAAACATAATTGAAATGTTATAATGGATTCATTACAAGGAAATTGCTCAACAATTTATGTGACTTGTATTACCTGCTTGATAGGCATTCTAGAATTAGGTGAGTAAGAAAACATACAACCTTATGGATAACAACTTCTGGTTCATTGCATATAGCAATGTTTTGAGGTAGATACTTACACCCTTATTATCATTAGAAACAACTATGAATGTTGGAGACTTGCAACATGATGCACAGGTTCTACAATGAGTCAGATGCTGAACAATTACATTTAAAAAGACTAATGGATTACAGTAAAACTAAAAGGAATCATATCTGTAGATCATATATACTTCAGCCATTTTGCCATGAAAATGGTGACGCGGACGCCACATGTCAGTTTGAAATTGTCGCCAATAAGGCAGGCAAATCGTGGGTATGGGACCATTTTGGCTTTGTCAAAACGCAAAACGAGACAGACAAGCAAAAAGTAATTTGTAGAATCTGTCGGATAATTCTAAAGTATTCAGGAAATACTACTAATCTGACTGACCACTTGACAAGATATTCATCCACGTGAAAAAAGGGGATCAAATACTAGTCATTCAATCACATTCATTCACATTGGTGCTAAAACACTGCAGTAACCCAAGACTTTACCAGTTAGATGAAGTGAAATTTTGTATTAAAATGTTTTTGAGAGGTCAATTTGAACGTGTTTTCTTTTCATTTCTTGTTTTCTTTACAAATAGTATCAGAAAGTTATAATTATTTTGATGGTGTCAGTCAAAATGCTGAAATATATGCTGCTAAAGCCTGCTATAATTGCAAGTGAAAACTATCGCAATAGTAGGGCCACTATCGCAATAGTCAAAAATGCCTCAATAGTCACACCTAGTAGAAACTAACATTTTTGGCTGACTAGTCCTTACAAGAGTGACACATAGAAAAACCCTTAAAAATGGCAAATGTCTACTTGTCTTTACAGCGTTGAAATTGGGACTAAGTCCTGTAGTCCTTGCTAAACTGCCCAATAGTTAAGGTATCATAAAGACTAGCAGAATTTTTGTCATTTTTAAGGGTTTTGCTATATGTTATCATTATTAGGACTAGTGGCCTAAAAGTGTTAGTTTCTACCGCTGCCTTATGATACCTTAACTATTGGGCAGTTTGGCAAGGACTACAGGACTAGTGCCAATTTCTAATGCTGACCAGCACAGAAATGATGTTCCAACCATCGCTTTTATCGTTTCAAATGATTGCCTACTGAATAGAAGCCATGAAAACCTTATGAAGGATTGAGTCTATAGGTGATTAGATCTTTATTGTCAAAGTGAAGAATGAGGAAAATGTTTTCCCTTATATATTAATGTTTCAATATTAAACAACTAATCATGTTAATGCACTGAAACCTTGGTTTCGTTTGACTTTGCTTATTGATAACAATAATCAACTTGGCCTAACACTGAAGAGTTTGACACGAAACTCAAGCTGCTGTCAGATATCTCAACATGTTTCATTTCTTGTGCACTAGACAGACATTGTTCCAATGATTGTGATACGTATCATAAATTTTGCCAGGAACTCTATGGTGACTATGAATGGACAGTCTTGCAAAAACATGAAAACTAAGACCGAAAGACAACACCTTGTAAATGTCAACATTACAAAGTTATGAATCTCTTCCTGACCATACTATCCTGCTATGTTAACAAAGGATCGACAAAACGTCACTTGTTTACCGAAGGATACGAGCACTACCAACGACCATTTCACTAAGTCACAAATGCACTAACCAAAACATCCTAAACATGCAATGTTCCCGAGACAATTGATAGACTGAATTTCGTTAAAATAAGGGAAAATTCCATCATAGATTTGACTGTGAAAAAGTTTATGCATGGGAAAATGCGAGATCATCAAATCCCGATTCATACTTACATTAGGCGCTTTCAGTGAGATATAACACGTGTTGTTGATGACAGCAGCCGACAGTAAGCGTCTTTAATTGTCCCCCTTACCATTCATGAGCCGGGCCAGTTTAATACGGATGAATTAATAGCCTAACTCTTGATAAATCTACGTGACCTTCCACAACTCAATATGCATCTGGCTTCCTCGCCCATGCGTATTCATCCCCGACAAGAAAATAGTTCCGTCTATGTGGTTGCTGTTTACTTTAATATGTTGCTGAAATCAAGGAAAAGGGAACAGTCATGGATAAATTACATTGTTTTCATCAGATTGATCTGTATGGATAGTTATTTATTGTCAAAACAATTTACATTGGGATTATTCCGCGGGACATTGTCTCTACCATCCTAAAAATGTTGACGTCATAGACTAAGTCATGTCCGCTTTCTCCATGCCTTTTAGGGAGGCCGAGTTCATTTTTTCTTGTGGGGGTGCACCATGTAAAATACCATCATAACCTATCCGCTTTCCAACCAAAACACATTCCTTCATCTACAATATACATTGTATTACCTTACAATATCATAACTGATGTAATGCTTATAAGAGAAACCAGAACATACAAACTCCTCGCGCACATATTTTGAGAGGTTACCCAACAGAAAGAGTGAAGTCGGGGGTGAAAGGTTAAGTCTTGTTTTGTTTGTTCCACCACGTGGTTTCGTTTACGTTTTGACAGCGTGAAAACTTGCACAGCTAAAGTAACCATGCCATGTTTTAATTGCCTGGATCACTAAAATGAAAGGTATTGTACTATATTGGGTGTATGGTGATTAGCTATTCTTGCGTTGTTGTCACTGCCGTAATGGTCAATTCGCGCCAAAATATTTGTTTACATACTGTCAGAAGTATTGACACCGACGCGTACATACAGTAACTATGAACGCCGTGAGCATAAGGTAAGGTCACGTGGTATTTTCTTATCACGGTCTTATTTTTTTAATGTTTTCTTACAGTCCTTTCTCATAAATAATTCCAAAGAAACACTTATAATTTTTTAAGTTTACTTGTGTTGCGTGGAAATAATGAAGCTATTAAATGTGACCAGAAAAGACATAGATATACTTAATATATTGTCTCTGATGTGACTATGTGTGAAGCCCATTTCTGGTGTCCCCCGCCGTGATATTGCTGGAATAATGCTAAAAGCGGCGTAAAATCAAACTCACTCACTCTGATGTGACTAGGAATATATGATTCTGAAGTACTTAGATAATCTCATTTAATAATGAATAACAAAGCTATATGTTTAGTGTGAGGTAACATTTACTCATTGTTGAGCTTTAGCAGACAGTCAGATTTTTGGTTCAATGTGATGCAGTTGATAGGTTTTTCCAATTGTGTCCGCTTTCTATATAAATAAATCAAATATTATGCTGTATAGAGTTAAACTTCGAATCTTTATTATCTTTAATTGGTTTACGTATACAACAAAACAGAAATGAAGGCCACAATAAGAACATAAAATATAATAGTTTGAATTTTGTTTAATGTCCCTGGCCGTACTATCTTTGGCCTTGAAAAATTATTAGTATACAGTATTATGAAGGATATTACTGTGTGTGTGCATATAATGTTGTACCAGCTGGAGTATTGCACTGAGAATGGGAGGTTGAAAAGGAAGTACAGTGTAACCTAGCAGTGAAAATGGAGCTATGTACTGTTTGCTTTTACTGTGCGATACCACCAGTGGATGTTGGATAGTCAAAGTTGACCATGTCACAGCTACAGTAGTGGTATGGACCCCATTACAGACAAAACAAAACTGGAACCCAGAGGACCTGTGTAATAAATTTGAACCCAAACAGCTTGCAGCTCCAGTAATTTCTGTTTGACCAGATATGTTTGGAGTAAACAGGTAAGTATCATTGCTGGAGTCATTATTTTGCTGATGGCCACAGTGTGATACAGGAAGATAAATTAAAAATATCAGGAAATTTATGATAATGATCCTAGTAATGCATGTGAAGTGTCACTGAAAGAGATAATCACAGTCAGAGTTGTTTGAAAACATAGGTTTTTTTTTCAAATTTGAAATATAGATAATTAAAAAAGTCCTCAATATAACCTCACACAATCCCGCAGACAAATGATCAGATTGCTTTAAGGAGATTTTGGTTATGTCATTTACATCTCTATTGCCGCTGGGGTCGTCAGTCAGTGGCCTTGTGAGGACCTCAGTTCTTCTTACTGACCTTTTTTGGATTGCACCCAGGAGATAGTGTTTTCTTTCATATTACAGTCATGACACAGGCCATGAATGCAAGAAAATAGAATTGCTGAAAGTCATTAACTTCGAATACATGTACCTGAATATTTAGAAAACATGAATGAAAATAAATGGTTTAAATATCAACGGATGATTTTCAGTGGAATCATATAGAAGATGTGCCACAGATATACTGGATTACCATTATCAAGAGAAGAAATATCATCTGCTATTCACGATTTGAAAAAATAAAAAAAAGTTCGGCAAATGTTGAATTGATACCATAATTCTTTAAATCTTCTTTTGACATATTACTTCCTTATTAGGAGATTTTATTCAATTCAATTCTCGAAACATCACATTTCCCAAAACCTGGTGTAATTATTCCTACATGTACACAAAAAAGGACCAACAAATGATGTGCATAAATTTGGAGGCATAACACTCTCTTGCATAATAGCCCAAAAAATTATTTCAATCATAAATAAAAGAATTATGTTTTTATCTGAAGCCCTTGATAAGATTGGTGAAGAACAAGCAGGATTTAGACGTGGGTACTCAACTACAGGTAACCCATTTATTGTACAGGCTATTATAGACAGATCTGTACAATCAGGGACACTTGTCTGCAATGTGGTGGACTTCTCCGTTTCATGTGGTTCAGTATGTAGAAGTACATTAGGGTTTTTATATCAAATTTACTATGTAATATCTATCAAGAGGTAAAATCCTGTGTTGGAAATATTGGTGTATATTTAGAGAATTGTACTTGTGAGTCTGGTGTGCGACAAGGCTGTGTGTTAAGATCTATTCTCTTCTCATTCTTTATGAATTAACTTGCCGAACATATAAAATGTAACAATGATGTTGGGTATTCAAATACTCCCAGAGACTTTGAAGATATTTATGTTACGTTACTCTTTGCTGATGATATTGTTATGTTCTCACATACTGTAAAAGACCTACAAAGGTTAATATATCAATAAGAAGTATATTGTAGCATTTGGAAGGTCAAGGTTAATGTAGATAAGACTAAGTTTATTGTGTTCAGTTGAGGTAATAAACTTGCAGAAAAGGAAATATGGTTTAGAACATCACTATCACAATTTGGATGTAGTTCACATAGATCAATGATTGATCTAGGGAGGCACAATGCTATAATCAGAAACAACATATTGTGTACGCGATGTAATTCAAATTCAGTGGAGGATGAATATCACTTTTCAGTTCTCAATTTAGCTATATAAAACATGCACCAGTGCAACCTATTATTGAAAAATACAACGTAGTATTTATGTCTACATGTACCAAGTGCATGTAAAAAACATTCGAATTTGAGTCTAACCCCTACACGTCCATACAGCATCGATTCTTTAAACACATTCCATACCTCTAAGCTTATTTTCCATAATAAGTCAATAACCCCTTTTTGATGTGTAATTTGTCATGGTTCCTTTGACTAAGTGAAATGGTGGGAACGTCAAGATTATACTGAATTGAATAAAAAAAAAAAGTTTGCATGTTTTAACTGTGCTAAATGTATGCGTAAATGTATTAATTTTTTCATCCCAATGTAGATAAAATTGTTTCTTTTATGAAATCAGTCCATACAAGTATTGTTCATGACTTATTAATGTATATTTATCATGCCATGTCAGTTAGAAAGTAATTTATGTGTGCAATCTATACGCATATATTATAGGTTGTTGGCCTTTTTTTTGTGAGAGAGAGAAAAAAAGAAAGAAAAGAAAAACTGTTCTGTATTTGGACTTGTTGTAGAGATGTAAAGGTGAGTTGTATTTACAAGGCCAATTAAAAGGACAATTGAGGTTTTTATGCTCACTTTTACCTTATTGCACTGATTGTACCGTTAAATTCCCTCCTAATTTAAGAATAAACTTTAACTTTAAAAGTTTGAAATAGAAACAGGCTCCATTAAACATTGGTTTAGGCTCGGTATCACCCCACCATCTGTAGTCAAGCTATGCAGGTCATTGTTTTCTGAAGGAATGATTCTAAACTGCTTTCAAACTTCAAGGAAATGAAAGGCTGGCATGCAGTTATATTTGTGGATGTGTAATACACATATCTGTGGCTTGAACCCATACCTGTAAAGTTCTAAACTTTGAATCAGCTTGTATTGATGCTGATAGTAATGCCAGTCCAATTTAATTACTTAATTTACTGATCCGCCTTTTACTTTTGAGCAATTTTCCACAAAATGCTTTACAGGTAATACTCTAGTAACATTTTATCGAAAAGTATACAGATGTTTTGATCTATGCTCATGATGTAAATCACTGGATTGTCTAGTCCAGACTCGATTATTAACAGACTGCCATCATATAGCTGAAATAGTGCAGACTGTTGCATTAAACAACAAACAAACAAATACTAGAGAAGCTGATTGACAACCTAATGTTAATAGTATTTCCAGTTATGATCAGCATTTGTTAAACATTGTTATCAATATTGTCATTTTCATATTGTTATTTTTTAAAATGGTAACCTGGATTTCAATTCATGTTATATCATAATAACTAATGTTATTGCTTCATATTTCTAAGTGACTTGTATTTCACTGACCAATCTGAGCAACATAGCACATCTGTCTCAAATTGCCTGCCATGGGCACTTAGTTTGGTTGGGGTTGTCCCATTTGTCAGACAGTGGAATATTTTTTAACTGCAACACACACCTTAAAATGATATGACCCAGACACTTGCAGTCTCTTCGAAGTTTTAAACGGCTTAGTTAAACTAAAATTATGTTGTATTCACTGAAGTTTGTGATAAGGTGATTAGAATACAACCCGAGTTGTCAATGTTAAATTTATCACCAGAGCTATAGATAAGTAGCGTATATATACTAAAAAACCCAATTACTTTCCATAACTTGCAAACCGAAATGCGTGCATTAAATGAAAAACTCAAATGTATAAAAACAGCACGCATAAATACCTAATGAAGATTTTTCAGCATGCGTACAAATGAGCTAATTTCTGAAACACAAATACGAGCAAATTTACTTTCGAGTCAAGCCTATATATTTAGAACAGTTATCATGGTTATATACATCTAAAACATTATTTCATTTTTTTTAAATAGAGTGATGAATAGATGAGTGAAAAAATATTGGTTACCCATTGAAAAATGTAATAACCCAATTAGAATAGAAACCCTGGAGTAAAAACTCAATTGCCCAAAAAGTTATCTGGAGCTCTGTATCACTTAAATGTAAAGTGCAGCTTTTTGACAGTATGGTAATAACAGTTCTTCTCTACAGATGCAAAGTACATATATGGGGATTTGAAAACATCTCAACTCTGGAAGATGTCCATTTGCATTTTTTAACATATCTTTTATCATTGAGAAAATGTACTCCAGATTTCATGGTATACAGGGAACTATGAAGGCTCCATCTATCAAACATCGCTTAAATGAGAATAATCAGTTTTGGGGCAAAATTAGTCCCTGGGAAATCATCTAAATTATCCTTTCTTGTGTACAAGTTGTTATTTGATGACGACCAATTTGGAAAATGTAAACATAAATGGATTACATTCATCAAACAAGCTTTTAATGAACTTGGACTTAGCTACCGGTACATCTGATTTTCACAAAGTTTCAAAATCCTTCTTATCTAAAACATTGAGTCCATGAAAAATTAAATGACATAAACCTACAGTGTTGGACAAGTGCAAGAGATAAGTCTTCAAGATGCACATTGTTTAGTATCATAAAAAATGATCGCCTAAATTTTGAATATTATTTAAACATACTACAGGAAAACGTTTGGCAAGTCTTACTTACCGTAGTCTTTAGAACTTGTAACCATGTCCACTTTGTAAACTATCTGACATAGGTGATGAATTCCATTATTTGTTAAGTTGAATGACTGACAGTACATTGACATTGATGTGGAAGTAAATATTACTATATTCATAACGATTGATGGTCATTATATATTATGTATATGTTATGTATTATACTTCATGTATATAATGTAAAACTCCTTTAACTAAGCAATATATTCCAAAGTATAAAGCAATAATAAATCAAGAATAAACACTGATTTGTATAAATCTTGTTTTCTTCATGATAAATGGAAGAATACACAACAATATTATCAACTAGATACTTTTAGGATGTATAATTTAGACAAGGTATTAAACTTTACCAAGACAACTTGTCAGTAAGCCCATGCGGTATATCCACCTATACTGTTTAGTCTGGAAAACGATATTGTCATGGGAGTGACTGGCCATTTTCTTGACATGTTTTCATTCATATAATGGACATCCCTGACAGTGTGTGATTGACAGGTGACTGACAACAGATCTCTAATTGCGGGTAGCATTTGCCTGATACTTTGCCAGAATTACAGATGTACATTTTGATTACCATGAATTGATTAACATACCATTGCAAATGGCTTGCATCTCTTTATTATACAAGAGCATCTTGGTGTCCTGGCTGAAGTTAAATAATCAATGGGTTTTTTTTGGCCAGTCGTCTGACTGTCAAGACCATCTTTGTGGTATTGATCTGTTTGCGGCAACTTGCACATCTCGTGTGAGTATTGATTACCGGGCTGGGGTATTCATATCTCACATCAGTTGATGCTAACGCGAGGCGAGATTAAACATGATTCACTTTTAAAGCAACATTACCTGAAGGGTCATTTTAGACAAGGACTGAGTTAGTACAATGTCGATGATTTAGAATATGTTTATGCTGCAGACTTGCTTCGAGGTTCCATGTTTAAGGTGCTATGGATCCCCTGTTCTGCAAAGAAAGGGGACATTAGATTTATGGATGTCCTCAAGAAGGATTTGGTTATTCATTTATTTGATGAAATCTGTTTAGTGACCTTCTTTTCTTTTCAGATTTCTGTCAGAATTGCACTTATCCATTGCATCACTAGAAACACAAAATATATCAGTACTTACAGGCATTAAATCATCAGTAATTGTTTTACATGAATTACTGCAGACTGCAACTAATCCAAAGCCAGAGTTTAGTCAAATTTATCCTGGTCTCCTCAGCTCATCTAATAGTAGTCCATATTATACTAAACAAGTCTCAGAAAGAAAGCTTCAGTCCAGTAGTAGTTTTGGACACAGGTTGGTAGGGATGGGTATTGCAGGTTTAAAGTGTATCACAATATTTTGAGATGCACAAGGCCGTAGTGTTATGTGTATCATGATATATTGTATAATTCTAAATTTTGAATTCAGAAGCACACACGCAACAAGACTGCAATATTTGCTTCATGAATTTTGTCATCCGTTTGTTTTAGAACGAAGTGCTCCCACACTTCAGCTTTTCCTTTCGCATTTGAAACAACTGACAGCGTTCCCATCTTGAGACCCCAAAAATGTACGAATGCACAAGGTAACTGAGAATCAATCTCTCTCTTCGCGAAATTGCATTTTGGAATTAGAGAAACATTTCGAAGACATTTAGCAAGTGTATAACTTTAAACACATGATAAAAATTGCTATTTAAAATGACTGAAAAAATCGCTGAAATACCACAAGCTTGCCGTAGAAGCCGACTAGTGAGGATCAGGTGGTTACTGTGTGTGTGTCTTGGATAAGTAAATGAACAAATGGCAAAATGAAGAATAGGCCAGCCCTCAACGTTTGTCTTTTTTTGTAATGGGCCTGCTAGATCTCAACAATTGAACAATAAACCATTCTGAAATAAAAGGATTTAGACTTTGAAGCCACAACCAAAGTAACACATGTACCTAGTGCCCCTTTGGCAAAGTAAGCCAGCTTTGTAGACCAACGTTTGTGAATGTGGGTCGATGTTTGAAACAAGTATTGTCATCAAGAAGATTTGACATATTTAGAATCTTGACTAAGCCAAATGAGTTTAGGAAGAAATGTGGTGGTGATTGGTAATCTTGCATGGGTCTGTCCAGTCGGTGGCCCTGTTTCAACATTTGGGGTGATTAGGTTCTATGAATATACTCCAAAGGTATGACCACGTTGTGTGTAATTTATTAATGGGGCTGCTGGTGGCCTTGTGGTCTAAGGCATAGGTGGATCCAGAGGGGGGTTCAGGGGGTACGGACCAACCCATTTTGAAAACCAAATGTAGTATTTTGTAAGCAGTAAAATTATCTGAGAGAAGATTTTTATATTTTGGACCCTCCCTTTTAAAACTGTTGGATCCACTCTTGTAAGGCGGGCCTTCCAGAATCATATGGTCAAATCCTTTCCCACATTTTCCATAATTATTATTTTTGTCAGCCATACTTGTGGGTTTCACAAAAGTGGTTAACATCAGACACCTGCATTAAACTGACAAGCTGTGATATAACTTTTAATACTGATCAAGCTGCACCAAGCCCGCTGCTCACTCACTCACTCACTCACTCACTCACTCACTCACTCACTCACTCACTCACTCACTCACTCACTCACTCACTCACTCACTCACTCACTCACTGGCGTAATAATAAGATCTGTTATGGCCTAAGTGCATTTGAGCAGTTATAAATTTGAAAGTGCATAATAATGAGACACCCCTTTGTCATCAACCATTGTCATAGTTGTTGCTGTTCCTCAGAGTAGTATTGTTGCAATTGTTGCTATGAGCAGGGCTTCCATAACCCTGTGACAATGTTGGCGTCAGCTGACAGAGATTCACCTGTTATCTACTCCCTGTATGTTGATGTTGCAGAGAAGGTGATGAAGGCATCAACCCTGACTAAAATTGCTGAGGACCCTGTTGAGAATGAAGCCAGTAAGAAATCTATTAGATGGGCGCCTCAGGTAGGGAATAGAGGTGCAGAGAAACGGAAACGGGCACCTGGTATCTTCCTAGACAAACGAAGGCCACCTTCACAAGGGGGTACTCTTAGTAAGGGAAAACAACTCTCGGCTTCTAAGAAGTCTACTAGCGAGAATGCCAAAAAGAAATTCAAAGTACAAAAAGAATACAAAAACGTCCACAGCACTAAACCTCCAAGAAACACAGTTCAGAAGGAAGGAACAAGTAACACCGAAGCCAAAAGGAATGTTGCAGAGATGAAGTCACAGGACCAGAAGATGACCAGTCAGTCACCAGTACAGAAGGAGGTAAAGGAAGACAGCTTTAGTCCTACTAGTAATAGTGTTTTCAAGAGGACCTCTGTGTCACAAAACAAGTTGCTTGATAAGGATGGGAAGACTGCTGGGTTGACAAAATGGAAGGACATAAGCAAACTGCCAGAGATTTCCCCTTTTCAGAAAAGGAGATCACTTGGGGATATGCGCCCTCCTAGTCCAGAAGAAGATGTGCTGGCGCTGCCATTTGGAGGAGCCTTGAAGATTTCAGACAGTAGTTTGTTAACTGTTAACAAAGCTACCAATGTCATCTACACAATTAATCAGGCAAGAAAGAAGCGCCTAAAGGAGTCCATCAATGCACAGATAGCTGCTGTCCATGATAGAGTCAGACGGGTAGGTGGACATGACAGGTAGACAGAACATGTGGAGGTAGACAGGTAGACAGAACATGTGGAGGTAGACAGAGCATGTAGAGGTAGTCAGAACATGTGGAGGTAGACAGAGCATGTAGAGGTAGTCAGGTAGACAGAACATGGAGAAGTAGATAGGTAGACAGAACATGTAGAGGTAGACAGGTAGAGAGACCATGTAGAGGTTGAGAGAACATGTGGAGGTAGACAGAACATGTAGAGGTAGACAGAACATGAAGAGGTAGACAGGTAGACAGAACATGTAGAGGTAGACAGGTAGACAGAGCGTGTAGAGGTAGTCAGGTAGACAGAACATGTAGAGGTAGACAGGTAGACAGAACATGTGGAGGTAGACAGGTAGACAGAGCATGTAGAGGTAGACAGAACATGAAGAGGTAGACAGGTAGACAGAACATGTGGAGGTAGTCAGGTAGACAGAACATGTAGAGGTAGACAGGTAGACAGACCATGTAGAGGTTGAGGGAACATGTGGAGGTAGACAGACCATGTAGAGGTTGAGAGAAACATGAAGAGGTAGACAGAACATGTAGAGGTAGACAGAACATGTAGAGGTAGATAGGTAGACAGAACATGTAGAGGTAGTCAGGTAGACAGAACATGGAGAAGTAGATAGGTAGACAGAACATGTAGAGGTAGACAGGTAGAGAGACCATGTAGAGGTTGAGAGAACGTGTGGAGGTAGACAGAACATGTAGAGGTAGACAGAACATGAAGAGGTAGACAGGTAGACAGAACATGAAGAGGTAGACAGGTAGACAGTACATGAAGAGGTAGACAGGTAGACAGAACATGTAGAGGTAGACAGGTAGACAGACCATGTGGAGGTAGACAGGTAGACAGACCATGTGGAGGTAGACAGCACATTTAGAGGTAGACAGAACATGAAGAGGTAGACAGAACATGTGGAGGTAGACAGGTAGACAGAACATGTAGAGGTAGACAGAACATGTAGAGGTAGACAGAACATGTAGAGGTAGACAGGTAGACAGAACATGTAGAGGTAGACAGGTTGACAGAACATGAAGAGGTAGACAGGTAGACAGAACATGTGGAGGTAGACAGACCATGTAGAGGTAGACAGAACATGTAGAGGTAGACAGAACATGTAGAGGTAGACAGAACATGAAGAGGTAGACAGGTAGACAGACCATGTAGAGGTAGACAGAACATGTAGAGGTAGACAGAACATGTAGAGGTAGACAGAACATGAAGAGGTAGACAGAACATGAAGAGGTAGACAGGTAGACAGAACATGTAGAGTTAGACAGAATGTGTGGAGGTAGACGGGTAGACAGAACATGTAGAGGTAGACAGGTAGACAGAAAATGTAGAGGTAGACAGGTAGACAGAACATGTAGAGGTAGACAGACAGAACATGAAGAGGTAGACAGAACATGTGGAGGTAGACAGAACATGTGGAGGTAGTCAGGTAGATAGAACATGTGGAGGTAGACAGGTAGACAGATGATGTGGAGGTAGACAGGTAGACAGATGATGTGGAGGTAGACAGGTAGACAGATGATGTGGAGGTAGTCAGGTAGACAGAACATGTAGAGGTAGACAGGTAGACAGAACATGTGGAGGTAGACAGAACATGTGGAGGTAGACAGAACATGTGGAGGTAGACAGGTAGACATAACATGTGGAGGTAGACAGGTAGACAGAACATGTGGAGGTAGACAGAACATGTGGAGGTAGACAGAACATGTGGAGGTAGACAGAACATGTAGAGGTAGACAGAACATGTAGAGGTAGACAGGTAGACAGAACATGTAGAGGTAGACAGGTTGACAGAACATGAAGAGGTAGACAGGTAGACAGAACATGTGGAGGTAGACAGAACATGTAGAGGTAGACAGAACATGTGGAGGTAGACAGAACATGTAGAGGTAGACAGAACATGTAGAGGTAGACAGAACATGTGGAGGTAGACAGAACATGTGGAGGTAGACAGAACATGTGGAGGTTGACAGAACATGTAGAGGTAGACAGAACATGAAGAGGTAGACAGAACATGTAGAGGTAGACAGGTAGACAGAACATGTAGAGGTAGACAGGTTGACAGAACATGAAGAGGTAGACAGGTAGACAGAACATGTGGAGGTAGACAGAACATGTAGAGGTAGACAGAACATGTGGAGGTAGACAGAACATGTAGAGGTAGACAGAACATGTAGAGGTAGACAGAACATGTGGAGGTAGACAGAACATGTGGAGGTAGACAGAACATGTGGAGGTTGACAGAACATGTGGAGGTAGACAGAACATGAAGAGGTAGACAGAACATGTGGAGGTAGACAGAACATGTAGAGGTAGACAGAACATGTAGAGGTAGACAGGTAGACAGAACATGTAGAGGTAGACAGAACATGAAGAGGTAGACAGGTAGACAGAACATGTAGAGGTAGACAGAACATGAAGAGGTAGACAGGTAGACAGAACATGTAGAGGTAGACAGAACATGTGGAGGTTGACAACATGAAGAGGTAGACAGGTAGACAGAACATGTAGAGGTAGACAGAACATGTAGAGGTAGACAGAACATGTAGAGGTAGACAGAACATGTAGAGTTAGACAGAACATGTGGAGGTAGACAGAACATGAAGAGGTAGACAGGTAGACAGAACATGTGGAGGTAGACAGAACATGTGCAGGTAGACAGAACATGTAGAGGTAGACAGAACATGTAGAGTTAGACAGAACATGTGGAGGTAGACAGAACATGTGGAGGTAGACAGAACATGTAGAGGTAGACAGAACATGTGGAGGTAGACAGGTAGACAGAATATGTGGAGGTAGACAGGTAGACAGAACATGTGGAGGTAGACAGAACATGAAGAGGTAGACAGGTAGACAGAACATGTGGAGGTAGACAGGTAGACAGAACATGTAGAGGTAGACAGAACATGTGGAGGTTGACAGAACATGAAGAGGTAGACAGGTAGACAGAACATGAAGAGGTAGACAGGTAGACAGAACATGTAGAGGTAGACAGAACATGTAGAGGTAGACAGAACATGTAGAGTTAGACAGAACATGTGGAGGTTGACAGAACATGAAGAGGTAGACAGGTAGACAGAACATGTAGAGGTAGACAGAACATGTAGAGGTAGACAGAACATGTAGAGTTAGACAGAACATGTGGAGGTAGACAGAACACGTAGAGTTAGACAGAACATGTGGAGGTTGACAGAACATGAAGAGGTAGACAGGTAGACAGAACATGTAGAGGTAGACAGAACATGTAGAGGTAGACAGAACATGTAGAGTTAGACAGAACATGTAGAGGTAGACAGAACATGTGGAGGTTGACAGAACATGAAGAGGTAGACAGGTAGACAGTATCACTAATGATTAATGTAATCATCAGATACTGCTGATGTGTTTTTGTTTTGTTTACCAGGCCCTGGAATACGCTGACATCTATGAGGAGGACACAGACACCAAGGACCAAGAGGTAGATGCACAAAGGATGTAGGAAGGGTTTCATTCCAAATACAGGAGGTTTTAGATATGAACGTACTATCACTTCTGTGTTTTCAATGTAGAGCTTGGTTAAAATTACCCGTAGATTTAAGCACAATTATATTTGAAATAGATCAGGCAATGTTTCTCTAGATTAAAAACACAATATGTTTATCTCCATTCTACCAGGACAAAACTAAAGGCAAAGTCTGTGGGGTTAGCAAAGATATTGAGTGCCACAGCATAGGTTCAGTGTTTTCAGTTTGTTGTTGGTCTTAACCAAGGAAACCCTGTCATGGACTTAAACAAGAAATGGTGCTGTATTTGCTTGAACATTGGGCTGTTTTCTTTGCATCATTATTCTTGACATGCAAGTATATGGAAGGCTCTGAAAGGGTGAATCACAGCTACTTCACAAAACAAGTTGAAGAGGTCACTATGAAATAAAATTAATCAAGCATTGCAACATTTAGATCTACATCACATGTCACAACTATGATGTCACATTGCAAACAGATACACAGTTGGATATAGCAATGCACCAAATTTTGACCTAACTTAAAATATTCTCTCTTGGTTGATTTCTTTCGGGTTTTCTGCCCAAATTGTTTTGTCACACATACTTTTGAGTCCTATGGTAACTGCAACTCTTCATTTTGTAACTTATAAATGTACATTCAAAGTTTTATACTGGCAATAATTATACAGGATACTTTTCTTTAAATACTGGCTTCCATGGTAATGCAGCCGTTTCAATCAGAGGTGGTTATTTTGATTTGAAACCTCTGATTGACCAATCAGAAATAAGTAATTTTACCTTATCCTGATTCATACTGTATGCTTATCTCTTCTTATTCTTGAAAGATAGTGATAACTTCCTGTGCTGTGTTCCCAGAGAACCCAAAACTGCTCACCCAAATGCACCCGTCTCATACGCAGGTTCACCGGAACTAACCCGTCTGACTCATCACTCTCTTATTTTTTAGCTTGTCTGGATTATTTTAATGTGCTTTTAATCCAACCATCCTATCCAGTCGGAACCATCCTATGAAAATTATCCCTACCTATTAAAACATTTGGTGCAGATTACCTTTATCAATCATTCATTCATCATATTCATTGATTATTACTTTGATTTGAATGAAAATATTATCTTTGTGGCTCTTGAAATTCTGTCTATTTTTCGTGATGAAGACAGTGCTGAGATAACAACCTTTTCTCAACACTAAAGTTGATTATAAAGCATGCTTGATTGATTCATGCTTTATCAAATCCACAAAATCTTATGATTTGCTCCTTTGTCCCCAAACAAGAGGTTGTACCCCACGACAGACATTGAAGAACAACAACTGAACCTAGAAGATGTCTGACCACGTTTCCATTGAGTTTCTACAGAACGGACAGTGTCAGAGTCACACATCTAGGCGAAACCCACAGATAACTGTGAGATTCAAGCAATACTTAAGAGTCAGGATAAGGTAAAATATGATAAAAATGTCATTTCTACTTATCCTGACTCATACCCTGAAGCACCCACCCACCCAGCTGTCCCAGATCTCCCTGATGTGATTTTGGCTCAAGAAGACTAGGAGAAAATAAAGACTGATGAGTTAGACAGGTTGGTCAATTGGTTCTGGTGCACCTGCGTGTGAGACTGGTGTATTTAGGTGAGATGTTTTCTGTTCCCCGGGAACACAGCACAGTAAGTTCCCATACCTTTCAGGATTAAGAAGAGATAAGCAATTAGTAGCAAGATGGTTCCAGTGCTCCTGCGTGTGAGAAAGGTGAATTTAGGTGAGATGTTTTCTGTTCTCTGGGAACACAGCACAGGAAGTTTCCACTATCTTTAGAGAATTAGAAGAGATAAGCAATTAGTATGAGTCAGGATAAATATAAATGATAGTTTTATCCGGAAAAATTCATTCTCCAAATTCGTGGTGGAATATTCAGTAATATTTCTAGTGAAATTGCACCAAATTTCAACATTCAAGTTCCAATGAATTCTATGGATGCCATGAAGCAATCTAATAATGGACACTATTCACCTGTGCCCTGATTGGCTGTCTTTCAATCTAATAGATTCTGTATATGTTGAAAGTTATATATCAAAGAGGTCAGCAATACTTTAATCAATCTAGTGAATCTTGTTGATGTATTTCTCTGTTCGCTTGCAGCCGGAGGGCATGTTCAACACACGCACCAAGAGGGAAACTGTGAGTCTGTTGGTTGATGTACCGTCTTCCTTCCTCCTACGTAGCCTTGTGTCAGCTTGTTTCTTCCCATCTTCCCGAGGCAAGAGTGAGTGAGTTGGGTTTAACGCCGCTTTTAACAGTATTCCAGTTATATCATGGCGTGTCAGCTTAATGTGGGAGGAAAGCCCGAGGTGATGCAGGTCTCAGACGTTTACCACTTCGGTGAAACCCAAGAGCACGGGTATGGTGCCGACAAACCTAGAAACATAATCTGGGCGAATCGGGATTCGAACCCACAATCATAGGTTTCTGGCGTGCCCAAGGGACGCAACTCTGCACAGCGAATCGCTGCGCCTTAGACGACTGGGCCACCCGTGGATATTGGACTTTTATAGTCAGTTAACTCTCTTGCCTCAGGAAGATGGCTTCTTCCCTGTGGCCAGGCTGATTGGGTGTCAGTGTACAGTGTTGATCTTCTGTCAGTCCATCAGTCCATGGCTTGCCTGAATTGTGGATTATGTTGCTGGAATAATGCTGACTCACATTCATTTCCCTTGTTGTTTCTACAAGTGATGAGGTGTCATTTTACTTTTGGTCTATCCAAGAGTCCTTTGTCTATCCGTCCAGTTCTTAACTTTGTCATTTTTGACAAATTTCAAGGGCTATAGACCTGAAACTTGCATGAATCATCCCAGCTATGGTGTCTCTAAGAAGAGGTCACATAGTTCCTAGCTAATTCACCATGGCAGCCATATTTAAAAGGGCATTTTGCATTACTCCGCCAATTCTATATGTATCATTATGAAAGGTGTAGTTAGATGTGGGGCATAACATATGTATGTTCCATATTTTGTGACATGCATTTTGACCATGAGTCCATGATTGCATCTTTCAGGCATAATAATAATAATGCTCTCATATGAAAGATATTGGAAAACCCACCAAACACTAGCCTACCACCATGTGTCATTATCTCAGTACATTGGGGAGCAATGCCAAATATTTGGTTTCTCCTTTGGTTGCCATGGAAACTCAAGATGTTCGAGTAATATAAGACGTCGGATAGTCCACGCCAAGTTTTATGGATACATAACCCTGTAAAACCAAGAAACCCTGACACCTTTGCAGTGGAAATACTTTTGCACTCTAACTATTCTTGAAATCACTTCTCTGATACTGCTGAGCTTGAATCAAATGCTGCTTGACTGATGAGGCTGAAATTTCACATGCAGATTTTTAGTCAACTTAATGAGAAATACATATTGTTGATGTGTTCAGATGAAACATCGCAGTGAGTTGATCTACAAGCTGCGAGAACATATTGAGGAGTGTCACCAGCGCATGGTGCTTATCTCTGATGTCAACAACTGGATCCAGATACAACAGAAGGAACTGGTGAGACTGCCACACACAACACACAGCAAAACACAAGCATTCTACACTTCTAACATTGCAACCCATAAACAATGTAACTGTTCTTAATAGAAATTTCTTGCATATTTGAGATTATATAAACTGTACAATTACTTAAATAATGTACAGCAAGTGTTCATGTGTTTGTGTGTGTGTCCAGGACAGTGAGCTGATCAGTGAGGAGGAGATGGATGAGACCTCAGTGGAGTTGAACACCATGCACAAGAAGATTATGTAGGTTGTCTCCCAGAGAACATCCCCGTGGCCCCCATCTCCCAGAGAACATCTCCATGGCCCCCATCTCCCAGAGAACATCTCCATGGCCCCCATTTCCCAGAGAACATCTCCATGGCCCCCATCTCCCAGAGAACATCTCCATGGCCCCCATCTCCCAGAGAACATCTCCATGGCCCCCATCTCCCAGAGATCATCTCCATGGCCCCCATCTCCCAGACAACATCTCCATGGCCCCCATCTCCCAGAGAACATCTCCATGGCCCCCATCTCCCAGAGAACATCTCCATGGCCCCCATTTCCCAGAGAACATCTCCATGGCCCCCATCTCCCAGAGAACATCTCCATGGCCCTATCTCCCAGAGAACATCTCCATGGCCCCCATCTCCAAGAGAACATCTCCATAGCCCTATCTCCCAGAGAACATCTCCATGGCCCCCATCTCCCAGAGAACATCTCCATGGCCCCCATCTCCAAGAGAACATCTCCATAGCCCTATCTCCGAGAGAACATCTCCATGGCCCCCATCTCCCAGAGAACATCTCCATGGCCCCCATCTCCCAGAGAACATCTCCATGGCCCCCATCTCCCAGAGAACATCTCCATGGCCCTATCTCCCAGACAACATCTCCATGGCCCCCATCTCCCAGACAACATCTCCATGGCCCCCATCTCCCAGAGAACATCTCCATGGCCCCCATCTCCCAGACAACATCTCCATGGCCCCATCTCCCAGAGAACATCTCCGTGGCCCCCATCTCCCAGACAACATCTCCATGGCCCCCATCTCCCAGAGAACATCTCCATGGCCACCATCTCCCAGACAACATCTCCATGGCCCCCATCTCCCAGAGAACATCTCCATGGCCCCCATCTCCCAGAGAACATCTCCATGGCCCCATCTCCCAGACAACATCTCCATGGCCCCCATCTCCCAGAGAACATCTCCATGGCCCCCATCTCCCAGAGAACATCTCCATGGCCCCCATCTCCCAGAGAACATCTCCATGGCCCCCATCTCCCAGAGAAAGTTTGTTGTAAATGAAATTAATGAAATTACCTCAAGTAGTTTAATCATTTCTCATGACTTATAGTGCACTCTGCTTTAGGGAGCAGTTCAATGTTCATTGTAGGATATTACACTTGCTTTTCAATGTATTAAGATTGAGGTTGTAATAGTATAAGTGTGACATCTGAAGGATTGCGACATTGCAGAGTAGTTGAGGTGGACATGGTTATGGGCAGCCATTCTGTCAAAAAATACAAACTTGAAAAAAAGGGCAAAAGTATGCAATAAAGGTCAAATATTACGAATAAAGAACTAAATGTTACTAATGAAGGTCAAAATACAAAACAAGCAGATGCCGTTGAAATAAAGGCTAAAAGTATGCAGTATTGATAGTCAAATGTTATGAAAAGACCTCATAAGAAAGGAAAGAACAATGTGTACGAAAGCACGTCAGCACGAAAGGATGTTTACAATAAAGAACGTCAGTGAACACGAAAGGACATTTACAATAAGTTGTTTCTTTGTTTGTTGTTTAACACTGCACTCAGCAATATTCCAGCAATATGTCTAGTAAAATTTCGTTCAGTCTAGTTAGCCTAGCAAATTATACTCCATATATTAAAACTAAAATTATTCTGGAAATGATGTCATGTGACACGTTCAGGCTTAGAAGTCAAAGTATTTGGCATGGACTGCGGCACACTTATTTGGATATGATAATTCTTACTTGAAGTGCAACTGTATTTCCTACGTACAAATTTATATACAATGTGAATGCGACTGAATATATATAATATAGTTCTTCTTTATCAGTCTTTGTGGGTAAGCATTTCTTAATAATTTAAATGTACAATTATAGGTTGCCGTTACTACAATATCAAAAGCATGTGTGTCAAAAGATTTTATGCAGAAAACACGATAGAAATGTAGAAAGAGAATTTATCATAAAAAAGGGAATATCGCTTGGTTGATATCAAGTGATATCACCGAGGAGATATGACTACATTCATTTTGACAGCTTTCTCACTGTAAAACATTCAATGTTTTACTCAACTATATGCGCATGATTTTCTTGGAATATCAAGCCTTTAAACAGATGTTAAAAGCACATATTATATCAACATACCCAAATTAGAAAACTGCGCCAAATATTCTAACAGTGTTAGTCACGTGATAAATGATCTCATTCACTTGTCGGTTAGGATCTAACCCTGGTATCGACTGGCTAGTGACCATGCTGTTATCGCAGAAGACCAGTTATCGCCAATCTCATTAAAATCAGATCTTAGTTCTCGCTACCGCTGAACAAAGATCTGAGGCCATTCCATTAGGGGTCACGTCAGAACGACCTTTCATCCGACCAATCAGAGAGTCGCTTACCAGATCATGAAAGTGACAGTCGGAATGTGATTTATAATCATGCAACCTTGAAGACTTTAACACAGGGTATTCCGAACGATACAATGTAAGTTAAAGTTTTCATTACACCTGAAGAGCCGTTGAACGGTGAAAGATCTTGTGTGGATAAAGGAGTTTTGACAAGCACGAATATCTGGACGCATGTATGACGTCAGACAGTGAGTGCACGAGGAATGACGTAATACATTGTGCACCTGAGCATGCAGTTATCATATACACAGCGGAACAAGCCGATTAAACTCGGAATGTTTTACAAATTGCAGCGCCATCTGGTGTTCTTTATTGTCTACTTCTTTATGTGCTCACTGATGTTCTTTATTGTAAATGTCCTTTTGTGCTCACTAACATTCTTTCTTACACATTGTACACATTTTTTAAACATTTGACTATTAATATTGTGTACTTTTTACCCTTATTTCAACTTTGTATTTGTTTAACCGGTGTCTGTTTGTTTTGTATTTTGACCTTTATTAGTGACATTTAGTTCTTTATTCGTAATATTTGACCTTTATTGCATACTTTTGTCCTTTTTTTCAACTATGTATTTTTTTACCGAATGGCCACCCATACAGTGGTACGTGTTGTAGATGTGAGTCCATGTACAGTGGTGTTTGTGTTGTAGATGTAAGTCCATGTACAGTGGTGCTTGTGTTGTAGATGTGAGTCAATGTACAGTGGTGTTTGTGTTGTAGATGTAAGTCCATGTACAGTGGTGTTTGTGTTGTAGATGTAAGTCCATGTACAGTGGTGTTTGTGTTGTAGATGTAAGTCCATGTACAGTGGTGCTTGTGTTGTAGATGTGAGTCCATGTACAGTGGTGTTTGTGTTGTAGATGTAAGTCCATGTACAGTGGTGTTTGTGTTGTAGATGTGAGTCCATGTACAGTGGTGTTTGTGCTGTAGATGTGAGTCCATGTACAGTGGTGTTTGTGTTGTAGATGTAAGTCCATGTACAGTGGTGCTTGTGTTGTAGATGTGAGTCCATGTACAGTGGTGTTTGTGTTGTAGATGTAAGTCCATGTACACAGGTGCTTGTGTTGTAGATGTGAGTCCATGTACACAGGTGCTTGTGTTGTAGATGTGAGTCCATGTACACAGGTGCTTGTGTTGTAGATGTGAGTCCATGTTCAGTGGTGTGTGTGCTGTAGATGTGAGTCCATGTACAGTGGTGCTTGTGTTGTAGATGTAAGTCCATGTACAGTGGTGTTTGTGTTGTAGATGTGAGTCCATGTACAGTGGTGTTTGTGCTGTAGATGTGAGTCCATGTACAGTGGTGTTTGTGTTGTAGATGTAAGTCCATGTACAGTGGTGCTTGTGTTGTAGATGTGAGTCCATGTACAGTGGTGTTTGTGTTGTAGATGTAAGTCCATGTACACAGGTGCTTGTGTTGTAGATGTGAGTCCATGTACACAGGTGCTTGTGTTGTAGATGTGAGTCCATGTACACAGGTGCTTGTGTTGTAGATGTGAGTCCATGTTCAGTGGTGTGTGTGCTGTAGATGTGAGTCCATGTACAGTGGTGCTTGTGTTGTAGATGTGAGTCCATTTACAGTGGTGTTTGCGCTGTAGATGTGAGTCCATGTACAGTGGTACGTGTGTTGTAGATGTGAGTCCATGTACAGTGGTACGTGTGTTGTAGATGTGAGTCCATGTACAGTGGTGTTTGTGCTGTAGATGTGAGTCCATGTACACAGGTGCTTGTGTTATAGATGTGAGTCCATTTACAGTGGTGTTTGTGCTGTAGATGTGAGTCCATGTACAGTGGTGTTTGTGTTGTAGATGTGAGTCCATGTACAGTGGTGCTTGTGTTGTAGATGTGAGTCCATTTACAGTGGTGTTTGTGCTGTAGATGTGAGTCTATGTACAGTGGTGTTTGTGTTGTAGATGTGAGTCCATGTACAGTGGTGTTTGTGCTGTAGATGTGAGTCCATGTACAGTGGTACGTGTGTTGTAGATGTGAGTCCATGTACAGTGGTACGTGTGTTGTAGATGTGAGTCCATGTACACAGGTGTTTGTGTTGTAGATGTGAGTCCATGTACGGTGGTGTTTGTGTTGTAGATGTGAGTCCATGTACACAGGTGTTTGTGTTGTAGATGTGAGTCCATTTACAGTGGTGTTTGTGTTGTAGATGTGAGTCCATGTACACAGGTGCTTGTGTTGTAGATGTGAGTCCATGTACACAGGTGCTTGTGTTGTAGATGTGAGTCCATGTACACAGGTGTTTGTGTTGTAGATGTGAGTCCATGTACAGTGGTGTTTGTGTTGTAGATGTGAGTCCATGTACAGTGGTGCTTGTGTTGTAGATGTGAGTCCATGTACAGTGGTATTTGTGTTGTAGATGTGAGTCCATTTACAGTTGTGTTTGTGTTGTAGATGTGAGTCCATGTACAGTGGTGTTTGTGCTGTAGATGTGAGTCCATGTACACAGGTGCTTGTGTTGTAGATGTGAGTCCATTTACAGTGGTGTTTGTGTTGTAGATGTGAGTCCATGTACAGTGGTGCTTGTGTTGTAGATGTGAGTCCATGTACAGTGGTGTTTGTGTTGTAGATGTGAGTCCATGTACAGTGGTGCTTGTGTTGTAGATGTGAGTCCATGTACAGTGGTACGTTGGTTGTAGATGTGAGTCCATGTACAGTGGTGCTTGTGTTGTAGATGTGAGTCCATGTACAGTGGTACGTGTGTTGTAGATGTGAGTCCATGTACAGTGGTGTTTGTGTTGTAGACGTGAATCCATGTACAGTGGTACGTGTGTTGTAGATGTGAGTCCATGTACAGTGGTGCTTGTGTTGTAGATGTGAGTCCATGTACAGTGGTACGTGTGTTGTAGATGTGAGTCCATGTACACAGGTGTTTGTGTTGTAGATGTGAGTCCATGTACAGTGGTATTTGTGTTGTAGATGTGAGTCCATGTACAGTGGTGCTTGTGTTGTAGATGTGAGTCCATGTACAGTGGTACGTGTGTTGTAGATGTGAGTCCATGTACAGTGGTGTTTGTGCTGTAGATGTGAGTCCATGTACACAGGTGCTTGTGTTGTAGATGTGAGTCCATTTACAGTGGTGTTTGTGCTGTAGATGTGAGTCCATGTACACAGGTGCTTGTGTTGTAGATGTGAGTCCATGTACAGTGGTTCTTGTGCTGTAGATGTGAGTCCATGTACAGTGGTGTTTGTGTTGTAGATGTGAGTCCATGTACACAGGTGTTTGTGTTGTAGATGTGAGTCCATGTACAGTGGTGTTTGTGCTGTAGATGTGAGTCCATGTACACAGGTGCTTGTGTTGTAGATGTGAGTCCATTTACAGTGGTGTTTGTGTTGTAGATGTGAGTCCATGTACAGTGGTGCTTGTGTTGTAGATGTGAGTCCATGTACAGTGGTGTTTGTGTTGTAGATGTGAGTCCATGTACAGTGGTGCTTGTGTTGTAGATGTGAGTCCATGTACAGTGGTACGTTGGTTGTAGATGTGAGTCCATGTACAGTGGTGCTTGTGTTGTAGATGTGAGTCCATGTACAGTGGTACGTGTGTTGTAGATGTGAGTCCATGTACAGTGGTGTTTGTGTTGTAGACGTGAATCCATGTACAGTGGTACGTGTGTTGTAGATGTGAGTCCATGTACAGTGGTGTTTGTGTTGTAGATGTGAGTCCATGTACAGTGGTACGTGTGTTGTAGATGTGAGTCCATGTACACAGGTGTTTGTGTTGTAGATGTGAGTCCATGTACAGTGGTATTTGTGTTGTAGATGTGAGTCCATGTACAGTGGTGCTTGTGTTGTAGATGTGAGTCCATGTACAGTGGTACGTGTGTTGTAGATGTGAGTCCATGTACAGTGGTGTTTGTGCTGTAGATGTGAGTCCATGTACACAGGTGCTTGTGTTGTAGATGTGAGTCCATTTACAGTGGTGTTTGTGCTGTAGATGTGAGTCCATGTACACAGGTGCTTGTGTTGTAGATGTGAGTCCATGTACAGTGGTTCTTGTGCTGTAGATGTGAGTCCATGTACAGTGGTGTTTGTGTTGTAGATGTGAGTCCATGTACACAGGTGCTTGTGTTGTAGATGTGAGTCCATGTACACAGGTGCTTGTGTTGTGGATGTGAGTCCATGTACACAGGTGCTTGTGTTGTAGATGTGAGTCCATGTACAGTGGTGTTTGTGTTGTAGATATTCCCTGGAGTCTTTCACCAACTGCACCAACAGGATCATCTCCATTGGACAGAAACTTATCGACATTGTAAGAAAGGTCCTCCATGTGTATGTATCTTTAAGATTATATTCTGAAAAGCTTTCTCTTGGTTATAAAAGCTTTGAGATGTATTCTAAATACTTTTTTTCACTTTTTAAAATGTGTATGATATGTCACATTAAACTCTCTTTGAGATTTTGCAGTATAAGTCGGTTTAAGATCACAGTTTGTCATTAATATCATGGCGGGTCAAGTAGTTGTGTGAGAAGCCTCAACATTTACCACTTGTGTGAAATGAGCACTCATATGGTGTTGGCAGACCTAACATTGAGCAACAAGTTACACAAAAGGATTACCTGTTATGTATGGATTCAACAAAGTATGTAAATTAGTTGTTATTTTCTTAAATCCACAGATATCTTAGTATTTCATTCAATACAATAATGTAGGGCTAATTTGTAAAGCATTTTAATTGACCCTCTTATCAGAGACACATATAAGTCAGCTTTGCAAAATTAGAAAACCCATATTGAAATCCACATTAAACGTGGTTAATTTACTAATATTTGCTACAACTTATCTATATGCTTACTGTCCTTTGTTTGTAGACCATCTAAAGGGAAAGTGGAGAAGATCCATGTGATTGATGGTGAGTGTTTCCCTCACTCTCTGGTTGCTGGGTCTGTCTAGCTCATGTCATCAACAAGTCCTCTGTGAAGGTCTAACAACTGGCCTTCATCAACCCATGCTCCCTGTAAGATTGAGTTGCCAGGCTCGCTTTCTTGGTTGATGCATGTCATTGTATCCCAATTGCATCATAGATCAGTGCTTAGGATGTCAATCACTGGATGCTCCGATCCAAGAATGATTATTTTCAGATGGTGTCATATAGCTGGAATAATGCTGGATGTGATGTAAAACAAAAAACAAAACATTGACAAATGATGTTCTCTGTTAACAGTAGGGTGACAACAGTTCTTTTTCCTTCTCTTCAATTTGTTTTTCTCAATATTGTAATGCGAAGGATATTTTTTTTCAAGAACATTTATTATGGGCAACAAAGTATTATTTCAGTACTAAGAGGGAGGTTTAGAAGTGTTTGCTTGACAAATGTCAATATCTCATTAACTGATGGAATTTCAATAATTATGTAGATTTTCAGTCTTCTTCTTTTCCCATCCTGCTGAACCTCTGCAGAGGGTTCTTTCAGCAGTTCCAAAGACCTAACATCCTTTCATATCAGCAATTTTATAAAGGGATTCATAAGCAGAAAATGTTGGAACAATGATGCGGGATGATAAATAGAATATCAGCCTTGTGTCTTTCCATATCAAATATATCAACACCTGTTGATTATGGATCAACAAGTGTTGATGTATTTCATATAAAAAGACACTCAGGTAAGATTCTCTGTTTCCAAGTGTGAGTAATTAGTTCATCAGACTGATGCAGGCAAGTGTATACTTTCGGCCATGGGAGCAGTGCCAATTTACATGTATCAGAGGGGTACACAAAGTATATGAGCTAGACTACCGGAACCAGTTATCAGACTTCCATTTTGTGGAAACCTCGGTGGCTGAGGGGGTAAGGTCGCTGACTTTGTGTGCTGGCGATTAGGTGCCTTATTCTGAGATGTGTGGGTTCGAGATGGGACTCAACCCAAAAAAGTACTAGAATGTGTACCTTGGTAAGAAATTACAACCTCAGATGTAACAAATGTTATACAGTATGATGGTTGGCTGTTGTGAGTGGCAGAGTATGATCCCGGCTGTGGTGTGTTCTTACAGAGAAGACTATGCTGTCCAACAAGGTGAAGTGGGACCAGGCCGTGGCCAGCATCATGGCCCTCTTTGATGATGCTGCACGCTGGGTAAAGGGCGTCCCATTCAAAGCTGGTGAGTTACACTGGAACAACCCTCCTGCTGTCCTAGGTAAATGCATCTCGTGGGGACTCCGGGTTAGAGGTTGTCCCCAGCAACCAGTGTTGGTCATTAGAGGCGACCAAGTGGCTCGTGTGGTCAAACTCAGTGACTTGGATGATGGCATGTCATTGATGTGGATTGTTGCTCACAATATCCATCACTGGATTGTCTTGTTCAAGGAACAACAATTATTGTAATGGGAAACACAATTATAGTTTGTAAATGTCCTTGTCTAGTCACCTTTATTGCAAACTTTTTTGTTATGTCAGCATTTAAACTATGTTTGTTCTCTCCAACTCCATCTCTGACATCAAATTTACAATCACCCCCTCTTTTAAGTTTATGAATGCCCAGCGTACTTAGTAATGTGAACATGGTATATATGCTTAGGATCTTAGCATTGTTGTTTAAGATTATGAAACAATATTCCTTTGAGTGAATAAAACAATTATTTGTTTTCACAAACATGTCCTGTGATCATTAGGGCTGCTACAGTTTGTCTTACCATGTATGTTGAAGTCTGAGTCTGTATTTACTAGGGCTGCTACAGTTTGTCTTACCATGTGTGTTGAAGTCTGGGTCTGTATTTACTAGGGCTGCTACAGTTTGTCTTACCATGTGTGTTGAAGTCTGGGTCTGTATTTACTAGGGCTGCTACAGTTTGTCTTACCATGTATGTTGAAGTCTGAGTCTGTATTTACTAGGGCTGCTACAGTTTGTCTTACCATGTATGTTGAAGTCTGAGTCTGTATTTACTAGGGCTGCTACAGTTTGCATTACCATGAATGTTAAAGTCTGAGTCTGTATTCACTAGGGCTGCTACAGTTTGTCTTAACATGTATGTTAAAGTTTGAGTCTGTATTCACTAGGGCTGCTACAGTTTGCCTTACCATGTATGTTGAAGTCAGATTCTGAATTCACTAGGGCTGCTACAGTTTGTCTTACCATGTATGTTGAAGTCTGAGTCTGTATTTACTAGGGCTGCTACAGTTTGTCTTACCATGTGTGTTGAAGTCTGGGTCTGTATTTACTAGGGCTGCTACAGTTTGTCTTACCATGTGTGTTGAAGTCTGGGTCTGTATTTACTAGGGCTGCTACAGTTTGTCTTACCATGTATGTTGAAGTCTGAGTCTGTATTTACTAGGGCTGCTACAGTTTGTCTTACCATGTATGTTGAAGTCTGAGTCTGTATTTACTAGGGCTGCTACAGTTTGCATTACCATGAATGTTAAAGTCTGAGTCTGTATTCACTAGGGCTGCTACAGTTTGTCTTAACATGTATGTTAAAGTTTGAGTCTGTATTCACTAGGGCTGCTACAGTTTGCCTTACCATGTATGTTGAAGTCAGATTCTGAATTCACTAGGGCTGCTACAGTTTGTCTTACCATGTATGTTGAAGTCTGAGTCTGTATTTACTAGGGCTGCTACAGTTTGTCTTACCATGTGTGTTGAAGTCTGAGTCTGTATTTACTAGGGCTGCTACAGTTTGTCTTACCATGTATGTTGAAGTCTGGGTCTGTATTTACTAGGGCTGCTACAGTTTGTCTTACCATGTATGTTGAAGTCTGCGTCTGTATTGACTAGGGCTGCTACAGTTTGTCTTACCATGTATGTTGAAGTCTGAGTCTGTATTTACTAGGGCTGCTACAGTTTGTCTTACCATGTGTGTTGAAGACTGGGTCTGTATTTACTAGGGCTGCTGCAGTTTGTCTTACCATGTGTGTTGAAGTCTGAGTCTGTATTCACTTGGGCTGCTACAGTTTGCCTTACCATGTATGTTGAAGTCTGATTCTGTATTGACTAGGGCTGCTACAGTTTGTTTTACCATGTATGTTGAAGTCTTGGTCTGTATTTACTAGGGCTGCTACAGTTTGTCTTACCATGTATGTTGAAGTCTGATTCTGTATTGACTAGGGCTGCTACAGTTTGCATTACCATGTATGTTGAAGTCTGATTCTGTATTGACTAGGGCTGCTACAGTTTGTCTTACCATGTATGTTGAAGTCTGAGTCTGTATTCACTAGGGCTGCTACAGTTTGTCTTACCATGTATGTTGAAGTCTGAGTCTGTATTTACTAGGGCTGCTACAGTTTGCCTAACAGTGTATGTTGAAGTCTGAGTCTGTATTCACTAGGGCTGCTACAGTTTGTCTTACAGTGTTTCTTGAAGTCTGAGTCTATATTCACTAGGGCTGCTACAGTTTGCCTTACCATGTATGTTGAAGTCAGATTCTGAATTCACTAGGGCTGCTACAGTTTGTCTTACCATGTATGTTGAAGTCTGAGTCTGTATTTACTAGGGCTGCTACAGTTTGTCTTACCATGTATGTTGAAGTCTGAGTCTGTATTTACTAGGGCTGCTACAGTTTGTCTTACCATGTGTGTTGAATTTTGAGTCTGTATTTACTAGGGCTGCTACAGTTTGTCTTACCATGTATGTTGAAGTCTGAGTCTGTATTCACTAGGGCTGCTACAGTTTGACTTACAGTATGTCTTGAAGTCTGAGTCTATATTCACTAGGGCTGCTACAGTTTGTCTTACCATGTATGTTGAAGTCTGAGTCTGTATTCACTAGGGCTGCTACAGTTTGTCTTACAGTGTGTTGAAGTCTGGGTCTGTATTCACTAGTGCTGCTACAGTTTGACTTACAGTGTGTGTTGAAGTCTGATTCTGTATTCACTCGGGCTGCTACAATTTGTCTTACCATGTATGTTGAAGTCTGATTCTGTATTGACTAGGGCTGCTACAATTTGTCTTACCATATATGTTGAAGTCTTGGTCTGTATTTACTAGGGCTGCTACAATTTGTCTTACCATGTATGTTGAAGTCTGATTCTGTATTGACTAGGGCTGCTACAGTTTGCATTACCATGTATGTTGAAGTCTGATTCTGTATTGACTAGGGCTGCTACAGTTTGTCTTACCATGTATGTTGAAGTCTGAGTCTGTATTCACTAGGGCTGCTACAGTTTGTCTTACCATGTATGTTGAAGTCTGAGTCTGTATTTACTAGGGCTGCTACAGTTTGCCTAACAGTGTATGTTGAAGTCTGAGTCTGTATTCACTAGGGCTGCTACAGTTTGTCTTACAGTGTGTGTTGAAGTCGTAAGTCTGTATTCACCAGGGCTGCTACAGTTTGACTTACAGTGTTTCTTGAAGTCTGAGTCTATATTCACTAGGGCTGCTACAGTTTGTCTTTCCATGTATGTTGAAGTCGTAAGTCTGTATTCACCAGGGCTGCTACAGTTTGACTTACAGTGTGTCTTGAAGTCTGAGTCTATATTCACTAGGGCAGCTACAGTTTGTCTTACCATGTATGTTGAAGTCTGAGTCTGTATTCACTAGGGCTGCTACAGTTTGACTTACAGTGTGTGTTGAAGTCTGAGTCTATATTCACTAGGGCTGCTACAGTTTGTCTTACAGTGTGTGTTGAAGTCGTAAGTCTGTATTTACTAGGGCTGCTACAGTTTGACTTACAGTGTGTCTTGAAGTCTGAGTCTATATTCACTAGGGCTGCTACAGTTTGTCTTACAGTGTGTGTTGAAGTCGTAAGTCTGTATTCACTAGGGCTGCTACAGTTTGACTTACAGTGTGTCTTGAAGTCTGAGTCTGTATTCACTAGGGCTGCTACAGTTTGTCTTACCATGTATGTTGAAGTCTGAGTCTGTATTCACTAGGGCTGCTACAGTTTGACTTACAGTGTGTTTTTTAAGTCTGAGTCTGTATTCACTAGGGCTGCTACAGTTTGACTTACAGTGTGTCTTGAAGTCTGAGTCTATATTCACTAGGGCTGCTACAGTTTGTCTTACAGTGTGTGTTGAAGTCATAAGTCTGTATTCACTAGGGCTGCTACAGTTTGACTTACAGTGTGTCTTGAAGTCTGAGTCTATATTCACTACGGCTGCTGCAGTTTGTCTTACCATGTATGTTGAAGTCTGAGTCTGTATTCACTAGGGCTGCTACAGTTTGTCTTACAGTGTGTTGAAGTCTGAGTCTGTATTCACTAGGGCTGCTACAGTTTGTCTTACAGTGTCTTGAAGTCTGAGTCTATATTCACTAGGGCTGCTACAGTTTGTCTTACAGTGTGTGTTGAAGTCGTAAGTCTGTATTCACTAGGGCTGCTACAGTTTGTCTTACCATGTATGTTGAAGTCTGAGTCTGTATTTACTAGGGCTGCTACAGTTTGTCTTACCTTGTATGTTGAAGTCTGAGTCTGTATTCACTAGGGCTGCTACAGTTTGTCTTACAGTGTGTGTTGAAGTCGTAAGTCTGTATTCACTAGGGCTGCTACAGTTTGACTTACAGTGTGTCTTGAAGTCGTAAGTCTGTATTCACTAGGGCTGCTACAGTTTGTCTTACAGTGTGTGTTGAAGTCGTAAGTCTGTATTCACTAGGGCTGCTACAGTTTGACTTACAGTGTGTCTTGAAGTCTGAGTCTATATTCACTAGGGCTGCTGCAGTTTGTCTTACCATGTATGTTGAAGTCTGAGTCTGTATTCACTAGGGCTGCTACAGTTTGTCTTACAGTGTGTGTTGAAGTTGTAAGTCTGTATTCACTAGGGCTGCTACAGTTTGACTTACAGTGTGTCTTGAAGTCATAAGTCTGTATTCACTAGGGCTGCTACAGTTTGTCTTACAGTGTGTGTTGAAGTCGTAAGTCTGTATTCACTAGGGCTGCTACAGTTTGACTTACAGTGTGTCTTGAAGTCTGAGTCTGTATTCACTAGGGCTGCTGCAGTTTGTCTTACCATGTATGTTGAAGTCTAAGTCTGTATTCACTAGGGCTGCTACAGTTTGTCTTACAGTGTGTGTTGAAGTCGTAAGTCTGTATTCACTAGGGCTGCTACATGTATGTTGAAGTCTGAGTTGACCTGTGTAAATCTGGGTTAGAATAGGTCTTCAGCAACCCATGCTTGGCCGTAAGAGGCAACTAATGAGATCAGGTGGTCAGGCTCACTGACTTAGTTGATACATGTCATTGTATCCCTTGGATCGATGCTTGTGATGTCAATCACTTGATTGTCTGGTATAGATTTGATTATTTACAGGCTGCCGTCATAAAGCTGGGATATTGCTAAGTGCTGTGTTAAACAACAAACAAACAAACAAATGAAGTCTAAACCTGTATTCATTAGGGCTGCTACAGGTTATCATACCATGTGTGTTGATAGTCATGATACATAAAGGAACATACAGGAAGGAGCCTTATTCCATTATAAAAATGGAAGACCTGTGATGCAGCAATAACGCAGTACAGAAGTAAGTAAGTAAGTAAGCAAACAATGAGAGTACTATTTTCAACAGGTGCTTCTTATATGTGTATGTGTTGTATGAAATTCTTGAATACAAATTCATTTTGCTCGGAACAGAAACAGGAAAATACAACTGGCATTATATTCACTGGAGTCGAAAAGGTCTGAATGTGCTATTTGAAGTTGACTGTAATGTTGCCAATGTAAAGTCAAATTGACATGATATGCATTCACAGTGAAAGGTCATCTTTGTCAGCAAGCTGCACACTGTGTATTTTGTGTTGTCATTTCAGCTCTTCGTAATGGAAAGAAGCAGTACCAAGTCCTCATCTCTGCTGTTGACAAGCGTCTGGCTGAGCTCAACCAGATGTCACGACTCACGGAGGACCTACAGAATGTAAGCACATCTTCTCCCCGTGGAGATTCCAGGGCACGATATGTACTCCTTGGGGAAGAATAGATCCCCAGTACCACTTGATTGTTTCCCTTTGGGGCTGCCGGGGCAGAAGCGATCCACAGTACCCCTGTGGGTCTGCCGGGGCAGAATGGGTCCCCAGTACCCCTTGACTGTCCTCCTGTGGGTCTGCCGGGGCAGAATGGATCCCCACTACCCCTGTGGGTCTGCCAAGGCAGAATGGATCCACAGTACCCCTGTGGGTCTGCCGAGGCAGAATAGGTACCCAGTTCCCCTTGACAGTCTCCCTGTGGGGCTGCCGGGGCAGAATGGATCCCCACTACCCCTGTGGGTCTGCCAAGGCAGAATGGATCCCCACTACCCCTGTGGGTCTGCCGGGGCAGAATGGATCCACAGTACCCCTGTGGGTCTGCCGGGGCAGAATGGATCCACAGTACCCCTTGACTGTCCCCCTGTGATGCTGCCGGGGCAGAATAGATCCCCAGTACCCCTTGACTGTCCCCCTGTGATGCTGCCAGGGCAGAATAGATCCACAGTACCCCTGTGGGTCTGCCGGGGAAGAATGGATCCCCAGTACCCCTTGACTGTCCCCCTGTGATGCTGCCGGGGCAGAATAGATCCCCAGTACCCCTTGACTGTCCCCCTGTGATGCTGCCAGGGCAGAATAGATCCACAGTACCCCTGTGGGTCTGCTGGGGCAGAATGGATCCCCAGTACCCCTTGACTGTCCGCCTGTGATGCTGCCAGGGCAGAATAGGTCCCCAGTACCCCTTGACTGTCCCCCTGTGATGCTGCTGGGGCAGAATAGGTCCCCAGTTCCCCTGTGGGTCTGCCGGGGAAGAATGGATCCCAAGTACCCCTTGACTGTCCCCATGTGATGCTGCCGGGGCAGAATAGATCCCCAGTACCCCTGTAGGTCTGCCGGGGCAGAATAGATCCCCAGTACCCCTGTGGGTCTGCTGGGGCAGAATAGATCCCCAGTACCCCTGTAGGTCTGCTGGGGCAGAATAGGTCCCCAGTTCCCCTGTGGGTCTGCTGGGGCAGAATAGGTCCCCAGTACCCCTGTGGGTCTGCCAGGGCAGAATAGATCCACAGTACCCCTGTGGGTCTGCCAGGGCAGAATAGGTCTCCAGTACCCCTGTGGGTCTGCCGGGGCAGAATAGATCAAGTCACACATTTAACCAACTACCAAGATTCAAGATACCAGAGAGTGAAGTTCAGACATTTTTGCGAATTTTCCCAAGAATTCCTACCTAAATAAAATAGTAGTTATTTTTTGGAATAAATACGTACAGAATAAGAAACGGAAGAAATGTAAAAATTGTGTGAAAACTAAAGAAGTTGTAAGGCCTTGCAAACAACCATGGACAACTCTATAGTGTTATCACAGATACCAGATTCAGAATTTACTGTGACTGTGTGAGACTTGTTATTTGCAGATGATGAAGGTATTAGGGCTGGGACAAGTCCAAATTTACTACCTGGGTACCCACCCCGCTATTACCTGACCCTACCCGGGTACCCACTGTAGGTCTCAGGAGACGTCTCAAAATGTCCGATTGGGAATATTTTTAGCATAGCCCAGGCAAAACGTATTTAGATACACGTATTAAACAATCTGGTCATTCATACTCTAAAGATGAATTAAGTTATTTCTTTATTAAACCATATGAAAAATCAGAAGGAATGGGTGAACAGTCAGAAAAAAATGCGAACATTAGTGACTTGTAGTGTAACCATAGAGTTCTAGATAATCTTTGTCATTAAACAATATATCATGTGACTAACCACGGGTCTGGGTAGTCCTGTGGGTACTCGGGTCCTACTCAGTACCCACCAGACCCGGGTACCTGAGTTACCCATCCCAGCCCTAGTAGGTATATTTTTAAACTCTATTGTTGGTCCCAAGGATCATTTGAACATTCTTGAACATGTTGATTCATATTGTTATAAATACAGATAAGAAGTACAGTAGGAAAGAGATTTTGTTTACATGTAATGAACACTTTGTTTAATTTGTAATGCATTACTTTTTACCCTCACCCATGCATGCATGTCACCTCACCCACCAAGTATCCTATTGTTGTCGTAAAAACCAACTAGGATGGGGTTGTTTTACGATGCGGGGGATATGACTGATTGTGTGGCATAGTGCCGATGGCTCATGCTGTTGACCACTGATCTGCATGACCGAGAAAACATGTGATGTGTAGAGTTTATTGCATATTGATCTGTCATATAAATTTTACGAGAGCTTCTTGTATGCAACTTGACCAGGGAACACTGTACAGTGACTGAAAACCACCATTAAACATGTGTATTGAAATACAGGTTAGGTTCAGTTGTCCATCACTAGGAACCATTACAATGATTCCTAGCTAATTTGTTGCTCGGTTTCTTACAGAGAATCCCTTTCAGTCTAAGGTCAAATATTCTATAAGGGAATTTCACCTGTGAAGATCCGGATGAGAATAGGTCTTCAGCACCCCATGCTTGCCTTTATAGGCGCCTAATCTTGTCGTAAGAAGTGACTGTTTGCCGTATAAGGGGACTATGCTTGTCGTAAAAGGTGACTAACAGGATCGGGTGGTCAGGCTCGCTGACTTGGTTGATGCATGTCATCGATCCCAATTGCGTGGATCAATGCTCATGATATTAATCACTGGATTGTCTGGTCCAGACTCGATTATTTACAGACCGCCGTCATAAAGCTGGAATATTGCTGAGTGCGGCGTAAAACAACAAACCAACCAACCAACCAATGCCACACCAACTGTATGGTACCAAATTTACTATGTTCATTTATCATCAACTGAAGTCTAAACCTTTCACTCCTGATTCTGGACTGAAATTATGGGGCAAAGGACAATGTTATGTAAGTGACTCTCTTTGATCCAGATGAACTTGTCCGATAGGCTGTTGTCATCTACATGCAATATCATTATAACAAAGATGGATGCTGAGAATGGCTTTGGCTCAGTGGTTCAATGTTACGGGCTACAACCAAGCTGATTTCATAGATTTGTATGGGCCAAGACTTGATTCTAAAGAGTTTAAATTTATTAAACAGGTACAATTGATAAGGATTGATAGTTAATACAACTGTCAAGTTTAAATATGGAAATGTTATGTGCTATTTGAGCATAGCCATGTGTGTTGTCATTGTACTAGGCAATGTCAGTGTAACTGGATTAGCAGTTTACTGTCTTCAGATGAGAAGATGAGACAACTGGATGTACCAGTAAATGTATCTTGGATTCCAAGGATCGCCTTCATGTACAATGTAGACATGTCATCTGTGATTTGTACCTGCATATTGTTTTTATTGAGGAGTTAGCCTTCCTCCAAGGCATATTATATAGGTATTACTGAATGGGTAAACACATCTTCAATCTTAACTGTTCATTCCTCGGGAGATACCAGTGGACATAACTCTTTGTTATCCCCCGCCGCGCGAAAGCGCGAAGCGGGGGATATAGTATTCACGACCGTCCGTACGTACGTCCGTACGTCCCACCTGTTTGTTGCCGCGATATCTCAAGAACTAAACACTGGATTGTCTTCATATTTGGAACTATGGTGTATATACAGACTCCGCAGACACCAGTCGGTTTTGGTGACCTTGATCCCATTTTCAAGGTCACAGCAGGCATATCTGCTTTTGGAGTTGGAAAACGGTGTTGCCGCGATATCTCAAGAACTAAACACTGGATTGTCTTCATATTTGGAACTATGGTGTATATACAGACTCCGCAGACACCAGTCGGTTTTGGTGACCTTGATCCCATTTTCAAGGTCACAGCAGACAAATCTGCTTCTAGAGTTGGAAAACGGTGTTGCCGCGATATCTCAAGAACTAAACACTGGATTGTCTTCATATTTGGAACTATCGTGTATATACAGACTCCGCAGACACCAGTCGGTTTTGGTGACCTTGATCCCATTTCCAAGGTCACAGCAGACAAATCTGCTTTTAGAGTTGGAAAACGGTGTTGCCGCGATATCTCAAGAACTAAACACTGGATTGTCTTCATATTTGGAACTATGGTGTATATACAGACTCCGCAGACACCAGTCGGTTTTGGTGACCTTGATCCCATTTTCAAGGTCACAGCAGGCAAATCTGCTTTTGGAGTTAGAAAACGGTGTTGCCGCGATATCTCAAGAACTAAACACTGGATTGTCTTCATATTTGGAACTATAGTGTATATACAGACACCGCATACACCTGTCAGATTTGGTGACCTTGACCCCATTTTCAAGGTCACAGCAGGCAAATCTGTTTTTGGAGTTGGAAAACGGTGTTGCCACAATATCTCAAGAACTAATCGCTGGATTGTCTTCATATTTGGTACTATGGTGTACAGGCGGGGGATATTTCGTCACTCTGTGACAAATACTTGTTAGAATTTGATTTCTGTCTTCTCCAAACTGCTGTCTATACCATTAAATGCCTTATAATTCTTACGAATCCTCTACCTCTATTACATCATTGGCAAATTCCTGTATCACACTAAACTAAACTTTCAGATTTCCAACACAAGTCCTTTTCAGTGTCAACTATGTAACAATCTATTGTTCCTGCAATAGCACTCAATCAGCCCAAGGCGCTCTTTTGCATAAAGGCGGGAAAAAACTCACTTTCTTCCTGTGTGTGCTAGAGTCAACACGTCCTACATACTGCTCTCCTCCAGCACTTTGTTGTAGTCACAACTATTCTAATCCGTTTCAGTAAACAAGCCAATTACTTTTTATTCATAAATAGTAGTCTTATCGTCTGTTTATATTACGTGAGTATTAAGTAAGTATAGGTGGTTCTTGCGAATCTTCAAGATGACGTCATCTCATAATTCAGCTTGTCATAAGTGTGGCTGATTTATGATCTTGGGTGACCCTCACTTAGCCTGCTGGAAATGCTGAGAAGTCAATCGCACAGAAGAATAGGCTGACGGTGAGTGCACGAGGAGTGACGTAATACATTGTGCACATGGGCATGCATTCAGTTATCATATACACAGCGGAACAAGCCGATACTCGGAATGTTTTACAAATTGCAGAGCCAGCTGGCATTCTTTATTGTCAACGTCCTTTCGTGCTCACTGACGTTCTTTATCGTAAACGTCCTTTCGTGCTCACTGACGTTCTTTCGTACACATTGTTCTTTCTTTTCTTATGACGTCTTTTTGTGTAACATTTGACTATTAATATTGTGTACTTTTGACCTTTATTTCAACTTTGTATTTATTTAACTGGCTTCTGTTTGTTTTGTATTTTGACCTTTATTAGTAACATTTAGTTCTTTATTCGTAATATTTGACCTTTATTGCGTACTTTTGTCCTTTTTTTTAACTTTATATTTTTTGACTGAATGGTCGCCCATTAATAAGCTTAAAGAATCTCTCACCAAAGCCAAGAGGAAAGATGCGGCCAAGAAGAAAGTTGATGACATAATGTCTCAACCTGACATGTCATCTACACCACCACCTAATCAACTGACCACTCCTCGGACGAATGTACCTTCAGCTCCTTCTTCTGACATCCCTGTAGCTATAGCAGAGACACCAGCAATTATTTGCTCAACAGAATGCCGAGATGGCCTCAATATTTGAATCTCGTCTTTCAGCTCTATCGCTGGAGGCCGCATGAGGGAAGAGACTTAACAAAGCCATGTTCATCTACCTTTACCAGCGCTACAGCCAGATGGCCTCTGGACAGGGTTTTAGAACCCAACCAGCCATCCACCCTAACCCTTAAGCACGCTCGTCCATCTGCATGTTCTCCCCAACCATCCGGCTAAACCAGCAGATAAGCCACCACATGGGACATACTTCCGTAAGGGAACTTTGGTTACACAACAGTTTACCCATTCACAGATCTTACCGGAACCTTGGACACTTTTGGATGATGACCAGCATGGGGACTACGTGACTCTACTGGATACTTCTGCATTTGACAACAGAAGACCATTTGTGGGACAACAACATTTATTCTATATATTATGCAGTTTTCATCTTGGAGGCATATGAGAGCTAACCTCCCTAGTCGCTGTCCAAGGGTCAAGACTTGACAAACAGAAAGTGTACTACTATCCTTCAGGTGAATCACTGTCAGACTGCCTTGTTTCATGTTATGTTACATATATGGTGAGCCTGCAGTATCCCACACCTCATCCACAAAGTTAAGCTTCAGTGGCCAACCGGCCGCTCTCTACCGTTATTTACAAGCCACTGCCCTGCACATGCCTGTGCTGCTGGCCATGGTAATGATTGGTAATGATAGTCCAGCTGCTGTTATAATTTGTATTTGAGCACTGCAAATATTTAGATAGATAAATTTAACTTACTTAACTGAGGGAATATATAAAACATACAGTCCCTGTTAAAATATATAGCCTCCCTGTTAAAACCTATACCCTGCCAAACTGCCTATGATATTTTCCCTAGCTGAGCTACATAATAGGAATTGTTGATCAAGCCTCAGACAATGTACAAAAACTACGGCATGATAATAGACTTCCGCTCCCAAGTTTGAAGAGATAGCTATACTGGACACATCATTTACGTTCCAGAGTCCACAGTTTTGGTTGACGACTTTCTTAATGTAGCAGGGTACTATTGCTATTAACATCATTATTCATACATCATCATCATCATAATCATCTATATGTTCATTGTTTGTCTTGTCTACAGTTTAATGTCAGTAAATGACTCTTTAAACTACTCAACACCCTTATTTTCAGTCTCTGGGAATCTCTCACCAGATCTTCCCCTTCAACCTTCTGTCTATCTTTAGACATTATTTCACACCTGTAGGGTTTCCCTCAGTCTATTTATATCTTGCATTAAGCACTTCCTTTTATGCTTAATGCAGTCTGTCTTCTAATTGGCCAGCCTGGTCCTCTACAGGTAGCTTCCTTCCATACCTGACTTCCTCCTCACTTCATTTGTACATTATTTCTCCATGTAGTTTATTAGATTATAGGCCATTTATCAAGCCTATGGAATTTGTATGATTTTGCAATGCTTACCTAGCTTTGACATGTTTACCGGTTTATTTGTTTGTAATTAACTTCTATCGAACGACTTTTAGAGAATTCTGGTATCGACTTGTCACTCTGACGTCTTAATTGGGAGCATAGTCAATTTCATCAACACGTGCACAACATACGTACACCCTCTCTACCTGTAATAAACCAAATATGTTTGTCCAAATTCTGTGAACTGTCTACTTGACTCAAACACGTTTTGTGAGTTCGTTCAACTTGTCCTGGATTACCACTAGTAATAACTTTTGTCTTGAGTGTAAATAGGTACGGCCAACCAGCTTAGAGATTAGTGACGTTAATTCATTGTGATTTCATGGTAACTGATGACGCCGCAATGGTCTGCAAAGCACTGCAATCAAATTTCATTTGGGAGATAAACATACTGTGTATGTTTCAATGTAGAGCTAGGTTACCTGTACTGATTAGGCATATGTCTGATAACATAGTATACTGTATTTATGAAAAGGCCTTTGCCCGGTGATGATGCTTAAACGCAACATTTATATACACAATGTGTACATTATATATTATACATATATGTGTGACGTCAGACACTGAGTTCACGAGGAATGACGTAATACATTGTGAACCTCGGCATGCAGTTATCATATACATGGCGGAACAAGCCGATTAAACTCGGAATGTTTTACAAATTGCAGCGTTCATGTGGGTTTAATGTTGACTGAAGTTTATATATTCCTGCGGATACAATGAGGCATGATGGACCGTAACTACTGCTGCACCGCCAAGTGGGCAAGGGGGCGCAATTCTAGGAATGTTTACCATTGCTGGATGGAAGGGAGATTTGTTCTAGGGAAATTGAACTTCCTCTGGACAGTCTGTTATTTAGACTGTAAGTGACGTCCGAACCGGTAGTAAAGACCGGAACTGACGTAAAATTAAACATAATGATATCCACGAGACTACAGGGCTGATTATTCCAGAATTCGTAAGAATTATCAAACAATAATTATCATTGTTAATAATTCTTAGAATACTACCTCTATTTCATCAGAAGTACTCCCTCCCACCTCCCCAATCATCTGTCTGTACTTGATTAATGTTTGGAAAGGAGTGAGAGCACCTTGGGCTGATTGAGTGATAATGTGGGAACAACTGATTGTTGTTTAGTTGACAGTGAGGAGGACTGGTGTTGAAAGTTTAATGAAGTGTGATATTTAGCCCAAATACAAGAATTTGGCAATGATGTAATAGAGGTAGTTTTCTTGGAATTAGTAACGATGTTGCGTATCAAGCTGTGTCATATGTCCTGTCAAGCCAGGATCCAGGTTGCCGGTATTTCACTGTTAAAGGGCCATTATAGAGGATCCATGAGGCTTTAATGCATAGATTTCTTAATTTAAGAAATGAAAAAATTGAACAAAAGGAGTTTTTTCTCTCAGTTTGCCAGCTAATAACTGAGCTCTAGATAACTCCCGCAAGGTATTGGAGAGGTTTTGAGATGCCAGATATTTAGAACACTAAAAAAACTACACGTTTGAATGTTATTCTCATGTGTGCAGTGGCGCATGCATTCAGTTTCACCTTCAAAATAGGAACCTTTTTATATTTTGTTTGTTTACAGGATTTACCATGTCGGTAATCAATCCAAGCACAACCATACATGATAGGCTTCACATGGGATTGGTATCCTACAAGCTGTCAACTCTTATACAGCTCAATACCTGTTAGCTATCTCATGGCCCGGCAACACAGAGGAGAGGCATGGCAATAGTTTTCAAAATATTAATTTTTACAATCTCTTGCCAATCTCTTGTAGGTGTGGCAATCAAGGAAATAAGTCATGTGACTGGGGCATTTCATAAGTAAAAGAATAATTGAAGTGTATAATGAGTAAGTTTTATCTAGTCAAATTCATGTTTGTTTAGGAACTTCTGATGTCAAAGGAAATGATTGCTAAGTACTCAAAGGATTCAGATGACTACAGGCGCATGGTGGACAGACTATCCAGTGAGCTGCAGGAGGTCAAGGCACAGTTGGTGAGTCAGGAAGTAGCGCCAACTCTACGCAGACCAGGAGACTGACAGGCCAGGAGACTCATGGACAAGGAAACTGATGGGAGACTGACAAACCAGGAGACTGACGGAAGAGTGACAGACCAGGAGACTGACGGACTAGGAGACTGACAGACCAGGAGACTGATTGACTGATGACTGACAGACCAGGAGACTGTCGGACTAGGAGACTGAGGGACCAGGAGACTGACAAACCAGTAGACTGACGAACTGATAACTGGCAGACCAGGAGACTGTCGGACCAGGAGACTGGCAGACTAGGAGACTGTCAGACCAGGAGACTGACGAACAAGGAGACTGACAGACCAGGAGACTGACAGACTAGGAGACTGAGGGACCAGGAGACTGACAAACCAGTAGACTGACGAACTGATAACTGGCAGACCAGGAGACTGTCGGACCAGGAGACTGACAGACCAGGAGACTGGCGGACCAGGAGACTGACAAACAAGGAGACTGACAGACCAGGAGACTGACAGACCAGGAGACTGACGGACTGATGACTGACAGCCAAGGAGACTGGCGGACAAGGAGACTGGCAGACCAAGAGACTGATGGACTAGGAGACTGGCAGACCAGAAGACTGACGGACTAATGACTGACAGCCCAGGAGACTGGCGGACAAGTAGACTGATGGACCAGGAGACTGAGGGACCTGGAAACTGACGGACCAGGAAACTGTCGAACAAGGATACTGACAGACCAAGAGACTGACGGACCATGAGAGTGACTGACCAGGAGACTGATGGACTGATGACTGACAGATCAGGAGACTAACGGACTAATAACTGACAGACCAGGAGATTGACAAACCAGTACACAGACGGACCGATGACTGACAGACCAGGAGACTGACAGACCAAGAGACTGACGGACCAGGAGACTGATGGACTGATGACTGATAGACCAGGAGACTGACGGACTGATGACTGACAGATCAGGAGACTAACGGACTAATAACTGACAGACCAGGAGATCGACAAACCAGTACACAGACGGACCGATGACTGACAGACCAGGAGACTGGCGGACAAGGAGACTGACAGACCAAGAGACTGACGGACCAGGAGACTGATGGACTGATGACTGATAGATAAGGAGACTGACAGACCAGGAGACTGATGGACTGATGACTGACAGACCAGGAGACTAACGGACTAATAACTGACAGACCAGGAGACTGTCGGACTAGGAGACTGAGGGACCAGGAGACTGAAAAACCAGTAGACTGACGAACTGATAACTGGCAGACCAGGAGACTGTCGGACCAGGAGACTGGCGGACCAGGAGACTGTCGGACCAGGAGACTGACGGATTGATGACTGTCGGACCAGGAGACTGGCAGACCAGGAGACTGACGGACTGATGACTGTCGGACTAGGAGACTGTCGGACTAGGAGACTGAGGGACCAGGAGACTGACAAACCAGTAGACTGACGAACTGATAACTGGCAGACCAGGAGACTGTCGGACCAGGAGACTGGCCGACCAGGAGACTGTCAGACCAGGAGACTGACGAACAAGGAGACTGACAGACCAGGAGACTGACAGACTGATGACTGACAGCCCAGGAGACTGGCGGACAAGGAGACTGGCAGACCAAGAGACTGATGGACTAGGAGACTGGCAGACCAGAAGACTGACGGACTAATGACTGACAGCCCAGGAGACTGGCCGACCAGGAGACTGTCAGACCAGGAGACTGACGAACAAGGAGACTGACAGACCAGGAGACTGACAGACTGATGACTGACAGCCCAGGAGACTGGCGGACAAGGAGACTGGCAGACCAAGAGACTGATGGACTAGGAGACTGGCAGACCAGAAGACTGACGGACTAATGACTGACAGCCCAGGAGACTGGCGGACAAGGAGACTGATGGACCTGGAAACTGACGGACCAGGAAACTGACGAACAAGGAGACTGACAGACCAAGAGACTGACTGACCATGAGACTGACTGACCAGGAGACTGATGGACTGATGACTGATAGACCAGGAGACTGACGGACTGATAACTGACAGATCAGGAGACTAACCGACTAATAACTGACAGACCAGGAGACTGACAAACCAGTAGACAGACGGACTGATGACTGGCGGACAAGGAGACTGACAGCCCAGGAGACTGACAGACCAAGAGACTGACGGACCAGGAGACTGATGGACTGATGACTGATAAATTAGGAGACTGACAGACCAGGAGACTGATGGACTGATGACTGACAGACCAGGAGACTAACGGACTAATAACTGACAGACCAGGAGACTGACGGACCAGGAGACTGACAGACAGTTGACTGACAGACCAGGAGACTGACGGACCGATGACTGACGGACTAGGAGACTGAGGGACCAGGACATTGACAGACCAGGACATTGACAGACCAGGAGACTGACTAACCAGGAGACTGATGGACTGATGACTGATAGACCAGGAGACTGATGGACCGATGACTGGCAGACCAGGAGACTGGCAGACTAGGAGACTGATGGACCAGGAGACTGACAAACCAGTTGACAGACGGGAGACTGGCAGACCAGGAGATTGATGGACCAGGAGATTGATGGACCAGGAGACTGATGGACTGATGACGGACCAGGACATTTACAGACATGAAACTGACAAACCGATTACTGACAGACCAGGAGACTGACAGCAGACTGATGGGAGACTGACCAGGAGTTAGGGTGGGTAGACTGACTGACAAGGATTTAAGTGTGTGTGGTCTGACAGACCAGGAGTGGATATTAAAATGGACTCAGATGTTGGACACTGTTCTATTTTTCTCTACTAAACTTGGCACATCGATAGGTCTAATTGTAAACTGGTGCCTCTTGATAGTTTGTGATTTTTGAAAAGTTTTATTATTATAATATTTTTTTATTATAAAAGTTTTCAAAGCATTAACTTTAACTTTCCCTTAGGTAGTGCTTGTTTCAAGAGCAGATCTTCAAAACTGCACTATATTTTATCAACAAATTTGGCACATAGATAGGTCAAGTGGTGAAGTGTTAACTTTTGATAGTTTGGGATTTTTGAAAAAAATCTTTTTAAGTTTCCATGGCTCAAGTTTCATATATTTATTGTGATAAATATTTACCATTGCAGGGGATATCAATGACTTTGTCCTCTTGTTCAAACAAAGTTCAATTTGCATGTTTGAAGTGTAACAAGTGTTGTGTCTGTCTAGACAAGCTCACTGGAGGCAAACAAGAACCTGACCAGTCAGCTGTCCGTGTTGGAGGGTCAAGTGAAGGAGATGAAGGAGGAGCTGGCCAAGCCCACGCCTCTGCCGCCTGGCATACCAACACCCCCTCTACCATCACCCCCACAACCACCACAGCCTTCAGATGGCTCCATCGAGCGTAAGTATCACAGTCCAGAACATGCACAGTATGAGGGGAATCCATGTAGTGAGCAAATGAGGGTTAAGGTTTTAATTTGAAACCCAGACAGGTAATCAAGCTATTGTAGGCATGGTCTTGAATAATGAACATGTGTATCTGTATTAGGATAAATGCATACTGTCTTCATTTCTTCAAATTCTTCTATTAATGAAATACTAATGGAACCTGAAACATGCAAATGTAGCTGTAATGATTTTATGGGGGATTCAACTGAAAGAAAGTTTATCATCTTAAGTCTTATTTTCAGTGAGAGAGAAGACGAGAAAACAGCTGCAGAGGTTGGAGCAGGAGTTACAGGAGTACAGGGTCAGTACAGGGTACAGGGTCAGTACAGGAATACAGGGTCAGTACAGGAATACAGGGTCAGTACACAGGGTACAGGGTCAGTACAGGAATACAGGGTCAGTACAGGAATATAGGGTCGGTACATAGGGTACAGGGTCAGTACAGGAATACAGGGTCAGTACATAGGGTACAGGGTCAGTACAGGAATACAGGGTCAGTACACAGGGTACAGGGTCAGTACACAGGGTACAGGGTCAGTATAGGAATACAGGGTCAGTACACAGGGTACAGGGTCAGTACATAGGGTATAGGGTCAGTACACAGGGTACAGGGTCAGTACAGGAATATAGGGTCAGTACACAGGGTACAGGGTCAGTACAGGAATATAGGGTCAGTACAAAGGGTACATGGTCAGTACAGGAATACAGGGTCAGTACACAGGGTACAGGGTCAGTACAGGAATATAGGGTCAGTACATAGGGTACATGGTCAGTACAGGAATATAGGGTCATGGTACAGGAATACAGGGTCAGTACACAGGGTACAGGGTCAGTACAGGAATATAGGGTCAGTACATAGGGTACAGGGTCAGTAAAGGAATATAGGGTCATGGTACAGGAATACAGGGTCAGTACACAGGGTACAGGGTCAGTACAGGAATATAGGGTCAGTACATAGGGTACAGGGTCAGTACACAGGGTACAGGGTCAGTATAGGAATACAGGGTCAGTACACAGGGTACAGGGTCAGTACATAGGGTATAGGGTCAGTACACAGGGTACAGGGTCAGTACACAGGGTCAGTAGGTGTACACAGGGTACACGGTCAGTAGGTGTACAGGGTACACTCAGTACAATATAAAGAAAATTTATGGCATTGAAATGTTAAATGTTCAGAAAGACACAACTACGTGTCAGTGCCTGGTGGATAAAAGCATGATACTCCATTGTGTGATTGCCAGATGCTGGTCAACAACCTGAGCAGTCGCATTGATGAACTGGAACAGCAGCTGTCTAAGGAACAGGGTGAGTTGTCCAACTGTATGCTCCATGTCTTATTAGACTAGCTCCATGGTCTCTTGGATAGAGTGTCTGCCCGGAGAGTGGAAACTCATGGGTTCGATCTCTTTAAAAGATGGTACTTGTTGTGATACAACTTGGTGCTCGGCATTAAGGGGCTAAAACAAGGACTGGACAGGCCCAGAATCAGTACACTATGTCTGAGTGGGATATCCATGTTCATTTTCCCTCACTTCATATCTCATTGTCCAACTTTCTTCTTCATGTCTCTTACCCACTGTCTGCTCCATGTCCCACTGTCTGCTCCATGTCTCATTGTCCCATTGTCTGCTCCATGTCCCACTGTCTGCTCCATGTCCCACTGTCTGCTCCATGTCCCATTGTCTGCTCCATGTCCTACTGTCTGCTCCATGTCCTACTATCTGCTCCATGTCCCACTGTCTGCTCCATGTCCCACTGTCTGCTCCATGTCCCATTGTCTGCTCCATGTCCTACTGTCTGCTTCATGTCCTACTGTCTGCTCCATGTCCCACTGTCTGCTCCATGTCCCACTGTCTGCTCCATGTCCCATTGTCTGCTCCATGTCCTACTGTCTGCTCCATGTCCCACTGTCTGCTCCATGTCCCACTGTCTGCTTCATGTCCCATTGTCTGCTCCATGTCCCACTGTCTGCTCCATGTCCTATTGTCTGCTCCATGTTTCATTGTCTGCTCCATGTCCTACTGTCTGCTCCATGTCCCACTGTCTGCTCCATGTTTCATTGTCTGCTCCATGTCCCACTGTCTGCTCCATGTCCCATTGCCCCACTGTCTGCTCCATGTCCCACTGTCTGCTCCATGTCCCATTGTCTGCTCCATGTCCCATTGTCTGCTCCATGTCCAACTGTCTGCTCCATGTCCTATTGTCTGCTCCATGTCCCACTGTCCGCTCCATGTCCAATTGTCTGCTCCATGTCCCACTGTCTGCTCCATGTCCCATTGCCCCACAGTCTGCTCCATGTCCCACTGTCTGCTCCATGTCCTATTGTCTGCTCAATGTCCCACTGTCTGCTCCATGTCCCACTGCCCGCTCCATGTCCCGTTGTCTGCTCCATGTCCCATTGTCTGCTGCATGTCCCACTGTCTGCTCCATGTCCCACTGCCCGCTCCATGTCCCGTTGTCTGCTCCATGTCCCATTGTCTGCTCCATGTCCAACTGTCTGCTCCATGTCCTATTGTCTGCTCCATGTCCCACTGTCCGCTCCATGTCCAATTGTATGCTCCATGTCCCACTGTCTGCTCCATGTCCCATTGCCCCACAGTCTGCTCCATGTCCCACTGTCTGCTCCATGTCCTATTGTCTGCTCAATGTCCCACTGTCTGCTCCATGTCCCACTGCCCGCTCCATGTCCCGTTGTCTGCTCCATGTCCCATTGTCTGCTGCATGTCCCACTGTCTGCTCCATGTCCCGTTGTCTGCTCCATGTCCCATTGTCTGCTCCATGTCCCACTGTCTGCTCCATGTCCCATTGCCCCACAGTCTGCTCCATGTCCCGTTGTCTGCTCCATGTCCCATTGTCTGCTGCATGTCCCACTGTCTGCTCCATGTCCCACTGCCCGCTCCATGTCCCGTTGTCTGCTCCATGTCCCATTGTCTGCTGCATGTCCCACTGTCTGCTCCATGTCTCATTGTCTGCTCCATGTCCCATTGTCTGCTGCATGTCCCACTGTCTGCTCCATGTTCCACTGTCTGTTCCATGCTCCACTGTCTCCTCATGTCCCACTATCTGCTCCATGTCTCATCCCTCAACTGTCTGCTCCATGTCTCATTGTCTGCTCCATGTCTCATTGTCTGCTCCATGTCTCATTGTCTGCTCCATATCTCATTTTTTGCTCCATGTCTCATTCCTCCACTGCCTGCTTCATGTCTCATTGTCTGCTCCATGTCTCATTGTCTGCTCCATATAACATTTTTTGCTCCATGTCCCACTGTCTGCTCCATGTTTCATTGTCTGCTCCATATCTCATTGTCTGCTCCATGTCTCATTGCTCCACTGTCTGCTCCATGTCTCATTGTCTGCTCCATGTCTCATTGTCTGTTCCATGTCTCATTCCTCCACTGTCTGCTTCATGTTTCGTTGTCTGCTCCATGCCTCATTGTCCCATTGTCTGCTTCTTGTCTCATTGTCCAACTGTCTGCTCCATGTCTCATTGTCTGCTCCATATCTCATTGTCTGCTCCATATCTCATTTTTTGTCTCATTTCTTGTCCCATTGTCTGCTTCTTGTCTCATTGTCCAACTGTCTGCTCCATGTCTCATTGTCTGCTCCATATCTCATTTTTTGCTCCATGTCTCATTCCTCCACTGTCTGCTTCATGTCTCATTGTCTGCTCCATGTCTCATTGTCTGCTCCATATCTCATTTTTTGCTCCATGTCCCACTTTCTGCTCCATGTCTCATTGCTTCACTGTCTCCTCATGTCCCACTGTCTGCTCCATGTCTCATTGCTTCACTGTCTCCTCATGTCCCACTGTCTGCTCCATGTCTCATTGCTTCGTCTCATGTCCCACTGTCTGCTCCATGTCTCATTGCTCCACTGTCTCCTCATTGCTCCACTATCTGCTCCATATCTCATTGTCTGCTCCATATCTCATTGTCTGCTCCATATCTCATTGTCTGCTCCATATCTCATTGTCTGCTTCATGTCTCATTGTCTGCTCCATGTCTCATTGTCTGCTCCATATCTCATTTTTTGCTCCATGTCCCACTTTCTGCTCCATGTCTCATTGCTTCACTGTCTCCTCATGTCCCACTGTCTGCTCCATGTCTCATTGCTTCACTGTCTCCTCATGTCCCACTGTCTGCTCCATGTCTCATTGCTTCACTGTCTCCTCATGTCCCACTTTCTGCTCCATGTCTCATTGCTTCACTGTCTCCTCATGTCCCACTGTCTGCTCCATGTCTCATTGCTCCACTGTCTCCTCATTGCTCCACTATCTGCTCCATGTCTCATTGTCTGCTCCATATCTCATTGTCTGCTCCATATCTCATTGTCTGCTCCATATCTCATTGTCTGTTCCATGTCTCATTCCTCCACTGTCTGCTTCATGTCTCATTGTCTGCTCCATGTCTCATTGTCTGTTTCATGTCTCATTCCTCCACTGTCTGCTTCATGTCTCATTGTCTGCTCCATGTCTCATTGTCTGCTCCATGTCTCATTGTCCCATTGTCTGCTTCTTGTCTCATTGTCCAACTGTCTGCTCCATGTCTCATTGTCCCAATGTGTGCCCAATGTCTCATTGTCCAACTGTATGCTCCATGTCTCATTGTCCCAATGTGTGCTGCATGTCTCATTGCAATGTGTGAAGCCCATTTCTGGTGTCCCCCGCCGTGATATTGCTGGAATATTGCTAAAAGCGGCGTAAAACCATACTCACTCACTCATGTCTCATTGTATCACTGTGTGCTACATGTCTCATTGCCCCACTGTCTGCTTCATGTCTCATTGTCCCAATGTGTGCCCAATGTCTCATTGTCCCACCGTGCGTTTCATGTCTAATTGTCCCAATGTGTGCTTCATGTCTCATTGTTTCACACTGTGTGCTACATGTCTCATTGTCCCACTGTCTGCTTCATGTCTCATTGTCGCACTGTCTGTTTCATGTCTCATTGTCCCACTGTCTGCTTCATGTTTCATTGTCCTAATGTGTGCTTCATGTCTCATTGTCCCACTGTCTGTTTCATGTCTCATTGTCCCACTGTTTGCTTCATGTTTCATTGTCCTACTGTGTGCTTCATGTCTCATTGTCCCACTGTGTGCTTCATGTCTCATTGTCCCACTGTGTGCTACATGTCTCATTGTCCAACTGTCTGTTTCATGTCTCATTGTCCCACTGTCTGTTTCATGTCTCATTGTCCAACTGTCAGCTTCATGTCTCATTGTCCAACTGTCTGTTTCATGTCTCCAAGTCCCACTGTCTGTTTCATGTCTCATTGTCCAACTGTCTGTTTCATGTCTCATTGTCCCAATGTGTGCTTCATGTCTCATTGTATCACTGTGTGCTACATATCTCATTGTCCCACTGTCTGCTTCATGTCTCATTGTCCAACTGTCTGTTTCATGTCTCATTGTCCCAATGTGTGCTTCATGTCTCATTGTATCACTGTGTGCTACATATCTCATTGTCCCACTGTCTGCTTCATGTTTCATTGTCCTAATGTGTGCTTCATGTCTCATTGTCCCACTGTGTGCTTCATGTCTCATTGTCCCACTGTGTGCTACATGTCTCATTGTCCAACTGTCTGTTTCATGTCTCATTGTCCCATTGTCTGTTTCATGTCTCATTGTCCCACTGTCAGCTTCATGTCTCATTTTCCAACTGTCTGTTTCATGTCTCATTGTCCCACTGTCTGTTTCATGTCTCATTGTCCAACTGTCTGTTTCATGTCTCATTGTCCCACTGCCTGCTTCATGTCTCATTGTCCCACTGTCAGCTTCATGTCTCATTGTCCCACTGTCTGTTCCATGTCTCATTGTCCCACTGCCTGCTTCATGTCTCATTGTCCCACTGTCAGCTTCATGTCTCATTGTCCCACTGTCTGTTCCATGTCTCATTGTCCTACTGTTTGCTTTATGTCTCATTGTTTGCTCCATGTCTCATTGTCCCACTGTTTGCTTCATGTCTCATTGTCCCACTGTCTGTTCCATGTCTCATTGTCCTACTGTTTGCTTTATGTCTCATTGTTTGCTCCATGTCTCATTGTCCCACTGTTTGCTTCTTGTCTCATTGTCCCACTGTCTGCTCTATGTCTCATTGCCTGCTTCATGTCTCATTGTCCCACTGTCTGCTCATGGCTCATAGAATTGGTCCCAAGCAACGTACACTGAATGTAAGGGGTAACCAAATCGACTGGGTCGACAGGCCCAGGGACTTTGTCAATAGCTTTTTTTTGTACCCAAACAGTGTAGATTATTGCTCACAATATCTGGTCACAGGAATATTCAATCCAGACTTGATTATTTACAGGCCGTCATCATACAGCTGAAATATTGCTGAGTGCAATGTTAAACAACAACCAAACAAACAAACAACATATGTAACATGACATTCCTTACCCTATCTAATGTGTGGTAACATGTTGATGTGGTTATTTTGACAGATAAGACTATATTGGATATTTGTATACATAAAGGAAGTGCAAAATGTTTCTTTCAAAGCTTAGAATGTTTAGTGTAAGCTGACATGAATTATTAGTTCAAATTTTCATCTACCAATGCTCATGTTGGTTTGAACAGAATTTGTCAAGTTCCTGAAAGAGAGCATGGAAATCCACACTCAGCCTGCTGCCTTAGCACCAAGAGGCCCGGAGCCAGGGGTGGAGATGCCCCCAGAGGTACGTCAGCAGTAGTAGGAACTAACGTGTGTTTGGGGCAGTGGTTTTATAGGACACAATTTGCTGTGCACTTATGTTTCTTAGCAGTACCAAGACTTGCTAATTGTAAGTACGAATCCTGCATTTGTCACGATAATGATTGGTGTCTGTCAGCACCATACCTGTGTTCATTAGTTTCACAAGTGTTAAACATCTCCGATCTTTGGTATGTACAGCTTTACTCCCACTCAAAGGTGATGCCCTGCATATGTCATGACAAGTAAATACAAGATTCTGTATTGTGAAACACCTAGGAAATTCAGTGCTGTTTACAAGCCAATTAGAAAGAGTTTTATTCTTCTCATATTTGAGACAAATTAGTGTTGTGACATGACTGATTTCAGGCATAAATACAAAGTATAGTTGGTTTTGCTCATGTGACACAATGTCACAAAATGATCTAAAAATTATGTAGGTGATGCTGGAATAGTGATTATTTCATTTATCTTAAGTTGGTATACATAAAATGAAAATCTTATTTAAATGACTTCAGAGTGAATTGAAGAGTCTTATAAGCCTTCTACTTTCACTGGATAACCAGAGATTACAGTCGCATGTTTGTGACCAGACATGTGCGAGGCAGTGGCTTTATTTCAAACTCATATTTATTGGAACCAATCAAGAAATAAAATAGTAAAGAAAAACCTATGCACACATGAGTTTATTAACATAAAATGCCACACACATACAATCTGCAATTCACACCGACCACGGAGAGCACAACCGGACCATTTACACAATACACACCTTACATGCGACACCAACTGGAACAAGGTATTCAGATTAATAAATACAAAAAGGCAGGTAATGTCACTTACTGGTGACATGAACTCTAACTTGTTCTTGCCATTTCACTCATTCCACAGAGCATGAGCACTGAGCACCTGGATGCAAACCACATGGGCTCGGAGATATTACACGGCCACAGTCATACAACAATAAATCCTCTACATTTTCTCTATGAGTAATTAAGAATTGACCTTCACTTTGTGTGAGTTCATTGGAGTATGAACCTTCAGAGAGTTGAAATGAGCGTATGGATGCATAACTTGCTCTACCGAATCATCTTACACAACACATGTGTTCAAATAATATTACCATTAGATGGGAAAGGTCTGTAAAGAACTGCCTCAGTAAGTCAGTCACAATGACAGCGCGTCGTAATACATTTACATCAAGTACAAGATGTCAAAATGGCCGACATGATAAATGTGAAGGGAGAGATTTCCGAAGTTGTTAATGAACCTGTGGCGGTTACATGTGTTAGTCATCATTGATCAACTGGCCGATCATTGAAAGGTTATTAAAGATGCGTCAAACAGACACTAAGGTAAATTCATAGATTGCTGGAGACGGTCACTGTCAGCCTAGACACTGATCGAGTCGATACTACGATAGTTTGGATGTGCATTTCTTCGTTTGCTCATTAGGATGGGCCGTAGCGAGGATATTCGTGAACAATATGCAGTCAAGCTCACTGACTTATCTCAATGCATACTGAAACGCTGAGACCAAGATTAAAGGTTCTAAAAGATCAGAAAGAACGCTTATGTATGTTTTCGTGCTAGGGAATTCCCAGGGGTTTCCCCAAGAATGTGGAAGTAGTCCGTCAGTGTTTATGTCATTTCAAGAACACAGTCTCATGAAAAACTATGAACGTCAAATTATGTCATTTATGCACTTATGAACGTCAATTTCGCGGTCATGTGACCGACCTCTCGTCCAATGGAAAAGCCTTATATCGTGTAAACTTCAAATTAAAAAATTATTTGAAAATGACTACCATGAGACTGACACCATAGTTACCCCGGACAAGCTTCTTTCAGACTGTCATACTACGTAACAGCGGTTTTGTATTTATAGGGGAGGTAACTCCTCACATGAAACTTACGGCATTCACTCAACTGTCCCTACACTAGTCGGCAAACATATTGCTGCCCCCTCAGGAAGAGATATACATGGACGAAGGAGCAAAATTTGTCTGATGGCCACATGCCACACATTGTTCAGTCTCACATTATGGATTGTCCCACTGCTGAGTGTTGCATGACAATGATGTCCTTAACTTATGTGGTTGTAGCGAGCCCCACCTCAAGACATTACTGGAGACCCCTCCTCCAACTACTACAAGACACTGATGTTAGGGATGAAGAGAGACTTTACGTTGGAGGTGGACAAACTCAAGGAGCATCTGAAGAAGGAGCAGAGCAGGTAAGCTACAGTATCTGTGACCTTCTGTCAGCTCTTGCAGGGACCCGTCTATTGGTCAGTCCATCAGGTAGACAGATGGACAACAGTTGGGTATTCAACAATCTCATTAAAATCAGATCTTAGTTCTCGCTATGCTAAACAAAGATCTGAAGACATCCCATTAAGGGTCACGTCAGAACGACCTTTCATCCAACCAATCAGAGCGTCGCTTACCAGATCATGAAAGTGACAGTCGGAATGTGTTTTCTGATCATGCAACGATGAAAAATTTAACACAGGGTATTCCGAACGACAGTTACGGGTTTTATGATTATATCCATACAATCTAGTCCATCTATAATTTTTTTAATCGAGAATACGTCAAAATATGTTTCGGAGTGTGGTCGCCAGTTTGTAACTAGTGTTGTAAAGCTCGAGAAAGCTGCCTTCTGATTGGCTAATGTCGATTTCTTGTCAGTCATTTCATTGGTCGGTCAAAATTCGCGAAAGGTCGTTCTGACGTGACCCGTAAAGGGATGTCCTCAGATCTTTGTTTAGCGGTAGCGAGAACTAAGATCTGATTTTAATGAGATTGGGTATTCAAAGGGATCAGTCCATCAGGGAGACAAATGCCCAACAGTTGGATATTCATAGGGATCAGTCCATCAGGTAGACAGGTGCCCAACAGTTGGGTATTCATAGGGATCAGTCCATCAGGCAGACAGATGCCCAACAGTTGGATATTCATAGGGATCAGTCCATCAGGTAGACCGGTGCCCAACAGTTGGGTATTCATAGGGATCTGTCCATCAGGTAGACAGATGCCTTAAAGTTGGGTATTCATAGGGATCAGTCCATCAGGTAGACAGATGCCTTAAAGTTGGGTATTCATAGGGATCAGTCCATCAGGTAGACAGGTGCCCAACAGTTGGGTATTCATAGGGATCTGTCCATCAGGTAGACAGATGCCTTAAAGTTGGGTATTCATAGGGATCAGTCCATCAGGTAGACAGATGCCTTAAAGTTGGGTATTCATAGGGATCAGTCCATCAGGTAGACAGGTGCCCAACAGTTGGGTATTCATAGGGATCTGTCCATCCAGGGAGACAAATGCCCAACAGTTGGTTATTCATAGGGATCAGTCCATCAGGTAGACAGATGCCCAACAGTTGGGTATTTATAGGGATCAGTCCATCAGGGAGACAAATGCCCAACAGTTGCGTATTAATAGCGATCTGTCCATCAGGGAGACAAATGCCCAACAATTGTGTATTCATAAGGATCTGTCCATCAGGTAGACAGCTGCCCAACAGTTGGTTATTCATAGGGATCAGTCCATCAGGGAGACAAATGCCAAACAGTTGGTTATTCATAGGGATCAGTCTACCAGGGAGACAGATGCCCAACAGTTGTGTATTCAGCAGTAATAGGGATCTGTCCATCAGGTAGACAGATGGCCAACAGTTGTGTATTCAGTAGTAATAGGAATCTGTCCATCAGGTAGAGAGATGGCCAACCGTTGTGTATTCAGCAGTAAAAAGGATCAGTCCATCAGGTAGATAGATGGCCAACAGTTGTGTATTCAGCAGTAATAGGAATCTGTCCATCAGGTAGAGAGATGGCCAACAGTTGTGTATTCAGCAGTAATAGGGATCTGTCCATCAGGCAGACAGATGGCCAACAGTTGTGTATTCAGCAGTAATAGGGACCTGTCCATCAGGTAGACAGATGGCCAACAGTTGTGTATTCAGCAGTAACAGGAATCTGTCCATCAGGTAGACAAATGGCCAACAGTTGTGTATTCAGCAGTAATAGGGATCTGTCCATCAGGTAGACAGATGGCCAACAGTTGTGTATTCAGCAGTAATAGGGACCTGTCCATCAGGTAGACAGATGGCCAACAGTTGTGTATTCAGCAGTAATAGGAATCTGTCCATCAGGTAGACAAATGGCCAACAGTTGTGTATTCAGCAGTAATAGGGATTTGTCAATCAGGTAGACAGATGGCCAATAGTTGTGTATTCAGCAGTAATAGGGATCTGTCCATCAGGTAGACAGATGGCCAACAGTTGTGTATTCAGCAGTAATAGGTATCTGTCCATCAGGTAGACAGATAGGGAACAGTTGTGTATTCAGCAGTAATAGGGATCTGTCCATCAGGTAGACAGATGGCCAACAGTTGTGTATTCAGCAGTAATAGGAATCTGTCCATCAGGTAGACAGATAGGGAACAGTTGTGTATTCAGCAGTAATAGGAATCTGTCCATCAGGTAGACAGATGGCCAACAGTTGTGTATTCAGCATTAATAGGGATCTGTCCATCAGGTAGACGGATGGCCAACTGTTGTGTATTCAGCAGTAATAGGGATCTGTCCATCAGGTAGACAGATAGGGAACAGTTGTGTATTCAGCAGTAATAGGAATCTGTCCATCAGGGAGATAGATGGCCAACAGTTGTGTATTCAGCAGTAAAAAGGATCTATCATCAGGTAGATAGATGGCCAACAGTTGTGTATTCAGCAATAATAGGGATCTGTCCATCAGGTAGACAGATGGCCAACAGTTGTGTATTTAGCAGTAATAGGAATCTGTCCATCAGGTAGACAGATGAACAACAGTTGTGTATTCAGCAGTTATAGGGATCTGTCCATCAGGTAGACAGATGGCCAACAGTTGTGTATTCAGCAGTAAAAAGGATCAGTCCATCAGGTAGACAGATGGCCAGCAGTTGTGTATTCAGCAGTAATAGGGATCTGTCCATCAGGTAGACAGATTGGCAACAGTTGTGTATTCAGCAGTAATAGGGATCTGTCCATTTGGTAGACAAATGGCCAACAGTTGTGTATTCAGCAGTAATAGGGACCTGTCCATCAGGTAGACAGATGGCCAACAGTTGTGTATTCAGCAGTCCATTAGATGGGTATTTTCCCAGATTAGTATTCAGCAATAGTAGGGTTCTGTACATCAGGTAGACATGTCCCATCCCATTGGATTTGAAGTAGGAACAATCAGTGTTTTGTTGTTTGTTTTTTGACACCACACTCAGCAATATTCCAGCTATATGACAGTGGTCTGTAAACAGTCAAGTCTAGACCAGACTATCCAGTGATTGACATCATGAGCAATGATATATACAATTGGGGTAATAGTAAGACTGCAAAAAATAGCCTGCAGATTTAAGGCATTCAAAATGTTGATGTTTGTGTTACTGGTTTGTTTAGAAATCATGCCTCAGTGCGTCGTTTGGAGCAGATCCACAAGGACCAGATACAGACCATTATGAAGGACTGCATGCGTGTCCTGCGTGGCATCATACATTTCCGCGACCAGGTGGCCAATACACTGAACAAGGAAGGATTTGGGGACGCCGCACAACAACTTCATCAGCTGCCCAAACTGATTCATGACAATGTAAGTATGTTAATGATTATGACAACAGGCTCTTCCTACCAGGTAGACTAAACATGTTTATTTCTCCCATGTCTCTACCTACCTGGCAGACTAAACAGTTCTATTTCCCATTGTCTCTATCTGCCTGCAGACTAAACGTCAGGCCTCAAAGGAGCAACTTGGCTCCTAATTTTTTTTCAAAGAGCCAAATAGAATTTCAAGGAGCCAAGGCAAAATGGAAAGGAGCCAAAAGTAATGACTTGTAATTTAACTGAGCTTCTGCATAACTAAACACAAACAAATCCATTTGTTTGAATAATCAGTTTTATATCATGAACAACAACTGTTGTTGGAAGCTTTTGAGTTTTCAGACAGACAAGCTTTAGAACATTGTGTCAGTAACATCATCAGACAAGCTTTAGAACGTTACAATACTTATAATTATGTTATATTTCAACTGATGTAGTGTATCTTACAAATTCAGCATTTTTTTAATGTTCAAAAAAAGCTAATCAATAACATCATGTTTCATTCCCCAAATTTATTTACATCAGATTATCAAATGATTTTAATGCATGTGTTCATGAAATTTATTTATTCTTAATTACAAAGTGCATTTAAAATTTATTAATTTATCTTCCTGTCAATTCAAAAAAAATAAAAAATTTAGATGGTGCCCTCATCTTGCCATATTTCAGCCAGTCCTGTTTGAATGTTCGTTTACCAGTGCCAGTGGCAGGTTTTGGTTTATCCAACGAGGCGACAGACGCATTACACACGAATTGCTAGACGACGAAACTTCCGTGTCAGCTTCGCCATTCAAAGCATTCTGCTTTGGAGGAGCACAGTCTTCATCATTTGCCGATTGACAACATTTTGTTGTTGTTTTGACTTGCGCAAATATGGAAAAATACTTCGTGTTTTTGAACGGCGAAACGACCACCATAGCCATCACCTGGGCGGATGTCGTACAGCGCATGCGTGGGTACTAAACTCTTAACATCGATAGTGCATTACTTAATAACGAAAAGCGCTTCCTTCATTCCAGGTATGGAGCTTCATATTGAAAGCGAAAACAGTACAGATGGCCTAGCAGTGATCAAGTCGATGTTATTATGTTCTGATATCGATTTTTTTTCACTGAAGTTACCACACTTAAATTAAAATTTTTAATATCTTATGACAAGAGATATTTAGTCGCAAAACTTAATTAAAGACAAGGAGCCAGTTGGCGACTGAAATGAAAATACTAGTAGCAAAATACAAAACTAGAAACTAGTCGCAACTTTGAGGCCTGAACATGTGTTTCCCTTTGTCTCCATCTGCCTGCAGACTAAACGTGTGTTTCCCTTTGTCTCCATCTGCCTGCAGACTAAACGTGTGTTTCCCTTTGTCTCCATCTGCCTGCAGACTAAACGTGTGTTTCCCTTTGTCTCCATCTGCCTGCAGACTAAACGTGTTTCCCTTTGTCTCCATCTGCCTGCAGACAAAACGTGTGTTTCCCTTTGTCTCCATCTGCCTGCAGACTAAACGTGTGTTTCCCTTTGTCTCCATCTGCCTGCAGACTAAACGTGTGTTTCCCTTTGTCTCCATCTGCCTGCAGACTAAACATGTGTTTCCCTTTGTCTCCATCTGCCTGCAGACTAAACGTGTGTTTCCCTTTGTCTCCATCTGCCTGCAGACTAAACGTGTGTTTCCCTTTGTCTCCATCTGCCTGCAGACTAAACGTGTGTTTCCCTTTGTCTCCATCTGCCTGCAGACTAAACGTGTTTCCCTTTGTCTCCATCTGCCTGCAGACTAAACATGTGTTTCCCTTTGTCTCCATCTGCCTGCAGACTAAACGTGTGTTTCCCTTTGTCTCCATCTGCCTGCAGACTAAACGTGTGTTTCCCTTTGTCTCCATCTGCCTGCAGACTAAACGTGTTTCCCTTTGTCTCCATCTGTCTGCAGACTAAACGTGTGTTTCCCTTTGTCTCCATCTGCCTGCAGACTAAACGTGTGTTTCCCTTTGTCTCCATCTGCCTGCAGACTAAACGTGTGTTTCCCTTTGTCTCCATCTGCCTGCAGACTAAACGTGTTTCCCTTTGTCTCCATCTGCCTGCAGACTAAACGTGTGTTTCCCTTTGTCTCCATCTGCCTGCAGACTAAACGTGTTTCCCTTTGTCTCCATCTGTCTGCAGACTAAACGTGTGTTTCCCTTTGTCTCCATCTGCCTGCAGACTAAACGTGTTTCCCTTTGTCTCCATCTGTCTGCAGACTAAATGTGTGTTTCCCCTCTCTATTTTGTGTCTATGTCTTTGAAGGTGAATCAGGACCCTAAGGAAGTCCTCTTGTACTTGGCTGCCAACACTATTGACTGTAAGTCTTAAGGCAATATTAACAATTTTGACATCTCTTGAACCTTAACCTTTATGTTAAGGATAAATCATGACTGCAAGCGTTTGGTTAAAAATGGAAACATGATGGGGAGGTAAAAATTCTTGGGCCGAAGGAGTTTTCATAATCTCAACCAAACCCAAGGTTGAGTTTTTTGTCTGACTTGTAAACCAAATGACAAATCTGAAACAACATTTTTCAACAAATTTATTTATGTTTCCAACACTTTTATGAACCATGGAAAACGGACATAATATATCATCTGTAGATGTTCATCATGTACATGGAAATGATACTCTTAAAACCTCAGCACCTTGTTAGCCTCGTCGTTCACTCACTAGGCTGCACTCCCAATGTTGCAAGTTGATCCCACTGGAATATAAGTAACATTTCTTGTTTGATGTTACATCATTCTGCACATGTCCTTAGTTGGCATTGTAATGTGTGTGATGTAGAGTGTGTTCAATAGCTAAATCCATCTCTAACTAGGACATTCAAAACATGTCAAACCCTCTTTACAGGTGTTACCCTCTGGAAAACCATGGGACTTTCTGCAGAATATCCCAGGGACAGAGGGCTATTCTGTTGAAAGTCCCAGCTGAGAGTTTATTCTATGAAAATGAGGCCCCATGAAAAAGAGGCTACTGCCACTAGATGTTCATGAAGCATGTGTAAGCAGTACTGATGCCACTAATATAAAATAAGTCCTAATAGTTGATTTCAAAATTGATTAAAATGTAAATGTTTATTCTACCATCCATTCCCGTGATTCAGGGGTCTTATGAGATAGCAACTGCGCATGCATAGACCAGTGCGACTTCGTGGCGTAGACGGGACAACGCTGAAATTATATTGCTCGGGATACATTTCGTTCTCCCAGTTGAAATTTTCTGAAGATAATTGGTTGCCAATTACTCAGTTTTTTGCCGATCCCAGGGTGATCACATTTATAGAAGTTTTACCGTTTGACAACCTGCAGAGTTGCAGAATTTCCACTTGACTATTGACCTACCTCGTGGTTGACCGTGTCGGCAGCCATTATGGCGGACGATGTTCGTAATACGATCCCTGCGAAGGACAAATCTATATCCATGGAAAATCTAAAGCAAAGACGTCCAATTCTACAAGGTATTCAAGCTCTAAACCCTCTACGAGTTCGGAAGACAGTGTAGCTAATGCAGGGACTTCGCATTCAGTAACAGAAATGGCACTAATGCTTGACGAACTAAAGAAAATGTCGGTGGAGCTTTCGCAACTGGGGGGGACATCGTTCAAATCAGTAGAACAGAAACTTAACAGTCAACAAGTTCACCCCTATGGAGAGGACGATTACTTCCAGATTATGAGTGGAGACGATTTTATTGAATCCTCACAGGTGCCTCATGATTCCAAAGGATTGTTTACTAACGCTGGGGACATTATTACTGACCCATTTGAGAAAATGTGCTCAACCTCACAGGATGCGAGTTTTCCACATGAGGAGGATGAATTCTCTTACTTTAGACAAAGTCTCGGACTTACTGAGGTATACTCTAAGCCTATTGACCCCAAGTTGGCAGACATTATCAAAACTTTGTTTGATGTGAAAAGTTCTCGCGATGGCGACAAACTCAATGAAGAGCGCATAAAATCATACCACAAGCCCCAGAACTGTGATGTGCTTAACGTTCCGGAAACAAGATTTTGTGTTATAACATCTCGGGATACGCAGTGAATACTGACAAAGTGCTTTAAAAAATTGCCACTGGGGTGGTTAAGCGTGACAGCCATTTCCTGTACTTAGACATCCTATTTCGGAAGAAGTCCGAACTGGATAAACAAACTTTTATTGAGATCCGGGAAGTGCTTAGGCGATGCGCTTGGGTTGCTGGGAACGACAAACAGTGAGTTAGTTCACAGATGCAAAGATGCATTGCAAGGTGAAATTAAAGACGAATTTCAAGCTTCGTGAAGATGTGATATTCTTTGTGATATTGGGACTATCCCCAGAATCGGCCAGAGAGTGTCGACAGGCTACTACTATCGTATGGTGCGAAACACCACCCATACTATGAGAACAGTCACCAAGCGAGAGGCAGACCGTACTATAGACAGCAGGACAGACCACAAGGTCAGTGAGTATGATCATATTTTTCATCAAGCAGGTAATTTGAAACAGTGCATTGATAATTTTAAAATGATCACTTTGGATGTACACATTTTGATAAATGTTGCCGGATTAAATATAGAATTTACAGGAGGAATGCCTCCATCTCAGGTTGCAGAACCAACACCATTGAATTTCCTTCCACAGAAGTATTTGCGATAGATCAAATTCTAACAGATTTTAATCACTGAGGAATAGTTTAGAAAGCATCTGAAAGTGTAGATCAATTTATGAATATCTGACATATTCCTTCGAGAAAAGAAGGGTGGCACTTAAAGGTTGATTCTAAATTTAGAAAAGCTTAACTTGGATGTAGAGTATAAACATTTCAAAATGGAAAGGCTAGAATCAGCGGCCACACTTATGACACAAAACTGCTTTATGACAAGCATTGATTTAAAAGATGCATACTACTCAGAGAATGTGTGTTCTGAACAGAGAAAAAATTTATGATAAAGATGGCCTGATACACTGGTTCAGTTTAATTACTTACCAAATGGTCCGAATTACCGAATTTTTACCAAACTTATGAAGCCAGTTTTTGCTTCACTAAGATCCCTAGGTGTGGATTGCTTGGGATATATTGATGACAGTTTCATCACAAATGAGGAGGAAGATACACTAAGACAGCAAACACAAATGAGCGTGAAACTTTTCTCGGACTTAGTTTTTTAACAATTCATGATGATAAGTCACAGTTCCAACCAACACAGAATATGGAATTTCTGGGATTTTTGGCTTAATTCATGTGAAATGACAGTAGAAATGGACAGTGAAAAATCAGAATACATCACAAGGTAAGGTGCTGAGATTCTGAGAAAAAAGACTGTAAAGATCAATCATCAATACCACAGTTCATTGGTTCTGTAGTCTCTGGTTTTCCAGCAGTTAAGTATGGCAAGCTACACTATTGGGTCATGGAGATTATCAATAGAGGCAGAGCATGAGCTTCAGTGGTGGCTAGACAATATCCCCACAGTACAAGAGAGATTAGAACCCAAGACTCGATATACAAATTGATACTGACTCTAGCCTGAAGGGTTGGGGGGAGGGGGGGGGCTCATGTCAGGGGGAGAGAGCCCAGGGACGTTGGTCAGAAGCGGAAGTTTGTTTTCACATCAATGTCCTTGAACTTAAAGCAATTGATTTGGCTCTAATATCATTTCATCACAGACTGAAAGGAAAGCTTGTTAGCATATGATCAGACAACACTACTGTGGTGTCCTACATTAGAGAAATGGCTGGTATGCATTCTCGAGAATGTGATGTGATAGCAAAACAAATTTTGACTTGGGCCATAGAACAACAAACTGATCTTGTCATCTCTCACATACCAGGTGTTGATAACATCAGCGCAGATAAAGCGTCTAGAAAATTTTCAGACTGGACTGAGTGGACTCTGGAAGATGTTTTTTTCTCGTAAAATTGAAATTCAATTTTCACTTCAATTGTCAATTGATCTGTTTGCTTCCAAGTTAAATCGGAAGATTGAAAAATATTGTAGCTGGAAGTGTTACCTTTCTGCCTGGCAGATTGATGCTTTTACACTAGATTGGGGCACAGAACTTTTTTATGCATTTCCTCCATATTGCTTAATGAGGAAATGTGTGCAAAAAATGAAGCATGAAAAAGCTACAGGAATAATTGTAGATCCGATCTGGCCTACTGACTTGTGGTTCACTCATCTGCTTTCACTTCATGTTGACAGGCCAGGGGAAATAACTCTGGCGAGGAGCAAGCTATTTCTACCTTGGGACCGAAAAGCACACCCTCAGACCAAGAAACTGCGGGTTGCAGCGTTCATGGAGTCAGGAGTGTCTGGAAGAACAGTGACCTTTCAACAGAAGTTATCAAAGTCCTATGGAATCATGGAAACTTAATTCCAGAAAGCAATATAAATCATATTGGGACAGATGGTATAACTTTTGTAGTCAGAGGCAGGCTACTCAAATTCAACCCACTGTAGGGGAAGTTCTAGATTTTCTATTTTTGTTATATTCAGGACTAGGATATTGTGCCCTGAATACTGCTACAAGTGCATTGTTGTGGATAATAAAGGTATTGGTGAACACCCTCTGATTGTTAGATTTCTGAAAGGTGTGTTCTTATCCAGACCTGTTACACCCAGATACTCAGAAATTTGGGATGTCAGATTTGTTTTTAACTTTCTCAGGAAACTATCACCTCTCAGATTGTTAACACTGAAGAAACTTTGGTGAAGTTATTTTTGTCACTGGTTACAGCGCAAGGGGACTCTTTCATTTCTCAACATTGGTGACTTAGAAGTTATTGATTCTTGTGCAAGAGTAACTTTTTTAATCAGAGATCATGTGAAACAATCGAGACCTGGAAAGGACTTTTCAAGGATCACAATCAAAGCATATCCCCCTGACAGGGAACAAATATATCGCGAGGACTGAACATGTTTGGGGTAATGAGTCTAAGTTGTTCATTTCATACGTGATGCCGTACGGCCGATTTCAAAAGACTCTCTCTGTAGATGGATAAGGTATGGACTTACCTTGGCAGGGATTGATGTCACTAAATACACTGCCCACAGTACCAGAGCAGCCTCAACCACAGCTATGTACAAGTTGCCCGTTCCAGTTTGTGATGTCCTCACCAAGGCACGATGGAGTTCAGAGTAAACTTGGTTGGGATGGGGTTGGGGGTTCGGATGGGGTGCCAGTCCATTGAGTGGGTATCCATGTTATCGGGCAGATTGAAACAGGATTTCTTAAAATTACAAATTATTGGTTGTTTGTCCCTTAATTGGGTTAGATTCATGTTGTTTAAAGTTTCAACAGACCGACAGGTTTGAAGTCTCATGGGACCCCAGAATCACGTGACTGGATGGTAGAATTAGTTAATTAAACAAGACTTACCTGTAAGTTGATGTTTGAACCATTGTTCCCTCCCTTGGGCCTTATGTCTATTGCCAATCTGTCGAAACTTCACTTTAAAGTCTGGTCCATGCATGCACAGTTGCAATCTCATGTTACCCTTCATCACTCCTGACTGGCTGGTAGAATTCCAATCAAACTTCAACTTACAGGTAAGTCTCTTTTAATTTACTAATTATCTGAGCATTATTTCCTGTAGTTTTGCTTTTGAGCTAACTGTTGTACATGTATTGTGGTGACAGACCTGCACAGTATAGAGGTTGTGCTGAACCACACCATGTTGGCGATCAAGGTGAAGCAGAAGGCAGGAACTGTTGGTAGCCATCCACCCATAGACCAAAATCAAGTCTTCAGGCAAATGGAGGTGAGTCCCAGTTAGAATACTACCTATATATTGTATCAAACACTGGTAAAGAACAAGCCTACTTCAAACACTGGTAAAGAGCAAGCCTACTTAAAACACTGGTAGAGAGGTGCCTACATCAAACACTGGTAGAGAGGTGCCTACATCAAACACTGGTAGAGAGGTGCCTACATCAAACACTGGTAGAGAGGTGCCTACATAAAAAACCCGTTGAGAGGTGCCTACATCAAACACTTGTAAAGGGATGCCTACATCAAACACTGGTAGAGAGGTGCCTACATCAAACACTGGTAGAGAGGTGCCTAGTACAAACACTGATAGACAGGTGCCTACATCAAACACTGGTAGAGAGGTGCCTACATCAAACACTGGTAGAGAGGTGCCTACATCAAACACTGGTAGAGAGGTGCCTACATCAAACACTGGTAGAGAGGTGCCTACTACAAACACTGGTAGAGAGGTGCCTTCTTTAAACACTGGTAGAGAGGTGCCTACATAAAAAACCCGTTGAGAGGTGCCTACATCAAACACTTGTAAAGGGATGCCTACATCAAACACTGGTAGAGAGGTGCCTACTTCAAACACTGTTAAAGTGGTACCTATATCAAACTCTGGTAAAGTGGGGACCTATATCAAACACTGGTAAATTGGGTGCCTACATCAAACACTGGTAGAGAGGTGCCTACTTCAAACACTGGTAAAGTGGTACCTATATCAAACTCTGGTAAAGTGGGGACCTATATCAAACACTGGTAAATTGGGTGCCTACATCAAACACTGGTAAAGGGGGTACCTACATCAAACACTGGTAAAGTGGGTACCTACATCAAACACTGGTAAAGGGGGTACCTACATCAAACACTGGTAAAGGGGGTACCTACATCAAACACTGGTAAAGGGGGTACCTACATCAAACACTGGTAAAGGGATGCCTACATCAAACACTGCCTACATCAAACACTAGTAAAGAGGTGCCTACATCAAACACTGGTAAAGGGATGCCTACATCAAACACTGGTAAAGTGGGTACCTACATCAAACACGGGTAAAGTGGGTGCCTACATCAAACACTGGTAAAGTGGGTACCTACTTCAAACACTGGTAAAAGGATGCCTACATCACTGGTAAAGAGGTGTCTATTTCAAACTGGTAAAGTGGGTACCTATATCAAACTCTGGTAAAGTGGGTACCAATATCAAACACTGGTAAAGTGGTACCTATATCAAACTCTGGTAAAGTTGGTACCTATATCAAACTCTGGTAAAGTGGGTACCTATATCAAACACTGGTAAAGTGGTACCTATATCAAACTCTGGTAAAGTTGTACCTATATCAAACTCTGGTAAAGTGGTACCTATATCAAACACTGGTAAAGTGGTACCTATAACAAACACTGGTAAAGTGGTACCTATATCAAACTCTGGTAAAGTGGGTACCTATATCAAACACTGGAAGAGAGGTGCCTACTTCAAACACTGGTAAAGTGGGTACCAATATCAAACTCTGGTAAAGTTGGTACCTATATCAAACACTGGTAAAGTGGTACCTATATCAAACTCTGGTAAAGTGGGTACCTATATCAAACACTGGTAAAGTGGTACCTATATCAAACTCTGGTAAAGTGGGTACCTATATCAAACACTGGTAAATTTGGTACCTACATCAATCTCTGGTAAATTGGGTACCTACATCAATCTCTGGTAAAGTGGGTACCTATATCAAACACTGGTAAAGCGGGTACCTATATCAAACACTGGTAAATTGGGTACCTATATCAAACACCGGTAAAGTGGGTACATATATCAAACACCGGTAAAGTGGTACCTATATCAAACACGGGTAAAGTGGTACCTATATCAAACACTGGTAAAGTGGGTACCTATATCAAACACTGGTCAATTGGGTTCCTACATCAAACTCTGTTAAAGAGGGTTCCTATATCAAACACTGGTAAATTGGGTACCTACATCAAACACTGGTAAAGAGGTGCCTACATCAAACACTGGTAAAGGGATGCCTACATCAAACACTGGTAAAGTGGGTACCTACATCAAACACTGGTAAAGTGGGTACCTACATCAAACACTGGTCAAGGGAGTGCCTATTTCAAACACTGGTAAAGATGTGCCTACTCCAAAAACTGGTAAAGTGGGTACCTACTTCAAACACTGGTAAAAGGATGCCTACATCACTGGTAAAGAGGTGTCTATTTCAAACTGGTAAATTGGGTACCTATATCAAACTCTGGTAAAGTGGGTACCTATATCAAACACTGGTAAAGTGGTACCTATATCAAACACTGGTAAAGTGGGGACCTATATCAAACGCTGGTAAAGTGGGTACCTATATCAAAAACTGGTAGAGAGGTGCCTGCATCAAACACTGGTTTAAAGTATGATATCAGGGCAAATCTGTAAGCTTTCCACAGTATCAGCTTACACAGTAATTGATGGTTGTCCCCCTTTAACACCAGGTGCGTATGGAAGAAATCCGTAAAACCTCCAAGATCCGTGATGTGATGAAGTCGCCAGTGAAGCATGCAAATGCTCGAGGTCGAAGGAAGGACAGGCAGCAAATAAGGAGACTGCAGGGGAGGGTTTCTCAATTTGTGAGTTGAGTAGAGACTACATGAGATACTTTCATTGATAATTTCTTTTTTGAATGTTACTGTAATATGGTGAAGATATTGGAAATGTTCTCAGTGTATGTTGTATAGAGAATAATCAGTACTTGTTAACCCAGCTCTTGGCCAGACTCTCTCTTGTATTAGAAACCCATGTGTTGGTAGAGCCAGCAAATCATTTAACCATAATTATTTAAATGTCATAGTGATGTACCATTGGTGTCTTGAGCCTCCCCTGGAAGGACAGCAGATATCTCTGTTAATGTGTTGTACAAGACAAGTACATCTGTGTTGTGCCAATGAACAAGTACATGTGTGTTGTACTGGTGAACAAGTACATGTGTGTCGTGCGGGTGAACAAGTACATCTGTGTTGTGCCAATGAACAAGTACATGTGTGTTGTACAGGTGAACAAGTACATGTGTGTTGTACAGGTGAACAAGTACATGTGTGTTGTACAGGTGAACAAGTACATGTGTGTTGTACCAATGAACAAGTACATCTGTGTTGTACAGGTGAACAAGTACATGTGTGTTGTACAGGTGAACAAGTACATGTGTGTTGTACAGGTGAACAAGTACATGTGTGTTGTACAGGTGAACAAGTACATGTGTGTTGTACAGGTGAACAAGTACATGTGTGTTGTACCAGTGAACAAGTACATGTGTGTTGTACAGGTGAACAAGTACATGTGTGTTGTACAGGTGAACAAGTACATGTGTGTTGTACAGGTGAACAAGTACATGTGTGTTGTACAGGTGAACAAGTACATGTGTGTTGTACAGGTGAACAAGTACATGTGTGTTGTACAGGTGAACAAGTACATGTGTGTTGTACAGGTGAACAAGTACATGTGTGTTGTACAGGTGAACAAGTACATGTGTGTTGTACAGGTGAACAAGTACATGTGTGTTGTACAGGTGAACAAGTACATGTGTGTTGTACAGGTGAACAAGTACATGTGTGTTGTACTGGTGAACAAGTACATGTGTGTTGTACAGGTGAACAAGTACATGTGTGTTGTACAGGTGAACAAGTACATGTGTGTTGTACTGGTGAACAAGTACATGTGTGTTGTACCAGTGAACAAGTACATGTGTGTTGTACTGGTGAACAAGTACATGTGTGTTGTACAGGTGAACAAGTACATGTGTGTTGTACCAGTGTACAAGTACATGTGTGTTGTACTGGTGAACAAGTACATGTGTGTTGTACAGGTGAACAAGTACATGTGTGTTGTACCAGTGTACAAGTTCATGTGTGTTGTACTGGTGAACAAGTACATGTGTGTTGCACCAGTGAACAAGTACATGTGTGTTCTACTGGTGAACAAGTACATGTGTGTTGTACTGGTGAACAAGTACATGTGTGTTGTACAGGTGAACAAGTACATGTGCGTTGTACAGGTGAACAAGTACATGTGTGTTGTACAGGTGAACAAGTACATGTGTGTTGTACAGGTGAACAAGTACATGTGTGTTGTACAGGTGAACAAGTACATGTGTGTTGTACTGGTGAACAAGTACATGTGTGTTGTACAGGTGAACAAGTACATGTGTGTTCTACTGGTGAACAAGTACATGTGTGTTGTACTGGTGAACAAGTACATGTGTGTTGTACAGGTGAACAAGTACATGTGTGTTGTACAGGTGAACAAGTACATGTGTGTTGTACAGGTGAACAAGTACATGTGTGTTGTACAGGTGAACAAGTACATGTGTGTTGTACTGGTGAACAAGTACATGTGTGTTGTACAGGTGAACAAGTACATGTGTGTTGCACCAGTGAACAAGTACATGTGTGTTGTACAGGTGAACAAGCACATGTGTGTTGTACCAGTGAACAAGTACATGTGTGTTGTACAGGTGAACAAGTACATGTGTGTTGTACAGGTGAACAAGTACATGTGTGTTGTACAGGTGAACAAGTACATGTGTGTTGTACAGGTGAACAAGTACATGTGTGTTGCACCAGTGAACAAGTACATGTGTGTTGTACAGGTGAACAAGTACATGTGTGTTGTACAGGTGAACAAGTACATGTGTGTTGTACAGGTGAACAAGTACATGTGTGTTGCACCAGTGAACAAGTACATGTGTGTTGTACAGGTGAACAAGTACATGTGTGTTGTACCAGTGAACAAGTACATGTGTGTTGTACAGGTGAACAAGTACATGTGTGTTGTACAGGTGAACAAGTACATGTGTGTTGTACAGGTGAACAAGTACATGTGTGTTGTACAGGTGAACAAGTACATGTGTGTTGTACAGGTGAACAAGTACATGTGTGTTGTACTGGTGAACAAGTACATGTGTGTTGTACAGGTGAACAAGTACATGTGTGTTGCACCAGTGAACAAGTACATGTGTGTTGTACAGGTGAACAAGTACATGTGTGTTGTACCAGTGAACAAGTACATGTGTGTTGTACAGGTGAACAAGTACATGTGTGTTGTACAGGTGAACAAGTACATGTGTGTTGTACAGGTGAACAAGTACATGTGTGTTGTACCAGTGAACAAGTACATGTGTGTTGTACAGGTGAACAAGTACATGTGTGTTGTACAGGTGAACAAGTATATGTGTGTTGTACAGGTGAACAAGTACATGTGTGTTGTTTTGCACCAGTGAACAAGTACATCTGTGTTGTACAGGTGAACAAGTACATGTGTGTTGTACAGGTGAACAAGTACATGTGTGTTGTACAGGTGAACAAGTACATGTGTGTTGTTTTGTACCAATGAACAAGTACATGTGTGTTGTGTTGTGCCAGTGAACAAGTACATCTGTGTTGTGCCAATGAACAAGTACATCTGTGTTGTGCGGGTGAACAAGTACATGTGTGTTGTACTGGTGAACAAGTACATGTGTGTTGTTTTGTACCAATGAACAAGTACATGTGTGTTGTGTTGTACCAGTGAACAAGTACATGTGTGTTGTACCAGTGAACAAGTACATGTGTGTTGTAACAAAGAACAAGTACACGTGTGTTGTTTTGTACAGGTGAAGAAGTACATATGTGTTGTACCAGTTAACAAGAAAATGTGTGTTGTAACAAAGAACAAGTACATGTGTGTTGTTTTGTACAGGTGAACAAGTACATGTGTGTTGTACAGGTTAACAAGTACATGTGTGTTGTACCAGTGAACAAGTACATGTGTGTTGTAACAAAGAACAAGTACATGTGTGTTGTTTTGTACCAGTGAACAAGTACATGTGTGTTGTACCAGTGAACAAGTACATGTGTGTTGTTTTATACCAGTGAACAAGTACATATGTTTTGTACAGGTGAACATGTACATGTGTTTTGTACCAGTGAACAAGTACATGTGTGTTGTACACAGGGATGTGAAATCTCCGCGGAAACGCTTAAAATCGCGTTTTTTTAAAACAGTAGTCCTCAAGAATAATCATCTTCCGCGTAAAAATATAATCAAAGATTTTAAAAAAACACCCCGAAAAATATGATCGAAAACCGGACAATCGTCGCGGATTGTCCTGTTTTCGATCAGAGCTTTCAGCAGCATAGGTTTTCGGACATCATACGTTTTCTATCACGAATACTTGCACTATAACGTGGGGTGTGGCGTCAAACAGAAATTGTAAATACTCAGAGTCAGATGATGGCTTGTTTTTAAGTAGTATAGGTAATGGGGGTTCTGGCTCACTTCCACTGGAGCTGGATTTATATACCTATACTGCTACCACAGATGGAATTTTTTATGCCAAAATGATTATGCGATTCAACGATAGTCATGAGATTAAGTTAAATTGACCCTAGCTCACCAATACCTGGGGCCAATCATTGCTTTAGATGAGTCTAAATGGTAATAAAAATATTCTTTATTATTTTTATCGATAAAGCGATATTCAACATTTTTATTAAGTTCTTCGTTCATTTTACTAGGAGACCAGACTATATAACTACACTCTTTTTGTAAATTGATAAGAAACAATTGATAACCGTATTTGGTTGGTTTGGCATCACTGATATAATAAAAACCTTGTGGTAATTCTTTCCATTGAATAGCTTTCTCCATTATTATATATTTATGTTAGCATTTGTCTAAATGTAATCACACGATAGTAAACAATCTATTTTTAATCTCCAACCAGTTCTTTGGTTTTGGCACGGAATAGTTGACGCGCTTGTTGCCTCCCCTGTTCTATGAACTTTTTTTTCTCGTCTTCGCTAATACCACTGGTCTTACGAGATTTTGATCGAATCTCCTGCTTCATTTTATTGTATTTGGTGAGTTCCGACAGCACTAAACGAAACTCATCTTCGGATATCTTACAATCGGCCATTGCTGTCGAAATATGATCCTCAATGCTGTTCAACTTTGCTTCGGCGAGTATCCGAATACTATCGTGTTTTAATGCTTTCTTTTGTAACCTACGAGAAATGAATTTTATCGCTATTCCTGCCAGTCCCGAGACTCCAGCTGTTATTTCCATGCCGAGCACGATAGGCGCGGCGATTATAGTTGATAGTAAACCGATACCCGCTACACCGAGTCCCATGCCAGATACTAAAAGCACGGTGTCAACTCCGTCCAGAGCATTCACGGCTCTGCGATACTTTTTATACAATCCAAGTCTCAACTCCCTATCCTTCCCTATTCGATGTTTTATGTCGCTTATTTGATGTAATCGAAATCCATCAACCGTTTCCATCTTTTCAAATGCTTCACCGAGCGCCGGATATAAACTCATAGTGTATATTACGATCATATAATAGTCTTTAATTGGTCTTGCTTAAATGTTTTGAGACTATACATCAATCTTATCAAATGTATATTATACGGCAAGAATATCTTAGAAAGAGAAATACTGTCACTTTTAATAATTTGGACCCCCTCGAGGGTTGCAACGGGCGATGCTCCGATATGAATAATACTGCAACGTTGACGTTGGTGTTTCTTTTGCCATTTAATCGATAGACCTGGTAATATATCGAAGGCATCTTCCGGTGCATCTCCGAAC